AATTTATTTCTCCCATCCTTACTTTGGGCCCAAATGCTCCACTCATGTTCATCTTTCATACTTTGAAGTAATTATAAGGGAGCAGAGCTTTTGAATCATACTAAATGAAAACGAGGTGACTTTAATGATGATGTATATAATATATTCAAACGAAAATATCAGAAAATATCTTAAAAGTATTGTTAGTTTAAAACATTTCTGAAATTATTTCCCTTGACATTAATTTCATGTGAAGATTTCCCTTTAAATTCAGTTATTTAGATATACATGGGATCAGCCATTTATCTTTGGTGTCACATGTAACTATTTAGTATTTTTAGAGTTATTGCCCTTGACTTAGCAAAAACTGTTTCATTATGTTGTGTTATTTGTTCCTTGATTGCTTGTGTTAGAATCAACCAACTTTACAGGAATAATGATCAACATCACTAAATTACAAGAACAATGATCAACATAACTGTGAAGCTATGCACCTGGGACTTTGCATGTGGATTTTTTTAACTTTTGTTAGAGTTATTGCCCTTGACGTACAGGAGTATAAATGTGCAATTTTCAACTTGTTCATGCATAGCTCAAAAGTATTTGACTTGTAGGCCTGAAAATGTAAAGGAATGTTGATAAGCAGGTGTACTTTCACCTTGGGGTTTGCTTATGGATTTATTCAGTATTTGTAAAGTTTGCCCTTTACTTAGTGTAAGATTTTTAGCTTTCAACTTGTGGTACATGTAGTCCAAAAAGTATTTGACCTAGAGTCATAAGATTGACAGAACAGTGGCATGTTGGGGCATCTGTGTCCTATGGACACATTTCTAGTTACATTTATTTGTAAGTTGTTCATTTGTTCATAGTAATTACTCTTTCATCATTCTTTCATTCGTTCACTCATTCATGCATTCATTCATTCATTAAGTCATTCATTCCTATTCATTCATTTTTTGTTCATTCATTCATTTTCAATTTGGAAAGTAGGTTCGACTCCAACCTCAATAAAAAATTATCCATTTTTTTTATTATTATTTTAAGGTCCTGACAATACAGAAGTATTTGAGCTGAGTAAAAGCAATGGACAGATAGTCACGAAGGTGAAGCTAGACAGAGAGAGTAAGTCGGAGTATACCCTGTGTATAGAAGCATCCAGACCGAATGTCGTAAACGAAGAGAGGGATCTCACAGCATTGAACAACTCCCACAAACTACTCTTCCTGAAAGTGAACGTCAGAGATGTCAACGATCTTGGGCCCAAATTCTATGAACCGTCAGTTAAAACAAGTGAGTCTATTACTGTAATATTGTTAATGTTTATCATCATTAAGTTTTAAAGCTAAATTATCAATTAAAATGGCCATTTCATTAAATGAAGTAAAGTGAAAAAGGAAAATTACAGGGAAAATAATATTAAATACAGTTTTTTAGAATTATGGATTTTAAGCTTGAATTTTAATGCTTTGTTGTTCTCTGCAAGTTTATTTTAGGAAAATATTATGTCGAGGTATTGGCTCATTGATAAGATTAAATATATTTTGGGGTTATTTTTATCTTTTCATTATAGATAATGACTATTTTGACCTTAAACCTTGTATGGTATTGTATTGTACAATGAAGGTATTATATTGTTTGGCATATAAAGAGGTTATGATGTTATTTGTTTGGTTACATTTCAGTTATTTTACAATATCCTGAGACATCCATATCAGTTGCTGAAGCTTATGACCTGGACCTTCCACCAAACAACGGCATTCGATATTCAATCGATAACATCGATTTTACAGTCAAAGGAAAAACTCAGAATGCCCCTACCGCCTTTACAATAAATGCAAATGATGGAACAATTGCTATAGGAACTAATGATTACACAGACTATATTGGAGGATATTTTGACATTACTGTCAAGGCCGAGGACTACAATGGTGCCAACGTGCCATTCGATCACCAATTACAAAGGGTGTGTTATTCTTACTTCTGATCAAAACTTCATTGTTTCATGACATTTTGTTGTATAATTTGATTGTATATCTTTAAAAAAATACTTTCCATCAGTGTGTTAAGTGTTTTGAATAATTGAATTTGTCCTTTTACCTCTGTGGCTTGTGTGATTTTACCACGGAACTGGCCGATGTTTGAAATTTTGCAACATCTGTAGGTCAATAGTCCTATCACTTACTGGAAGGTGTGAATCAGTGAACTGGATACACTTGTCTACTTGACTTAGAAAACACAATGTTTATCTTATTACGAATCAACATCGCTTTATAATTAGATTTGATGATTGTATTCTCAACTAATCTTAATTCCTTCTTGCAACTAGTTTGTGTTATGATTAAACCATTCTCCTTTTTCTGTAATCCAGGTATATGTAACAGTCCGTGCCAACCGTATCCGTGTTATATTTGACGAGCCGGCTGATGAGGCCGTGAGCAAGAAAGCTAATGATATGATTAAGTAAGATTTTAACTGTTATAATTTCTTCGATTTTTTAACCCACCCTTACACTACAAACTTTGTCTACAGGACTTGCTCCTATTTTTAACTTGTTATTATTTATTATTTAAAATGGTGTAAATGCTTTATCTGTTGATGGAAACTTCTTCTAAATCAATGTTTAACCAAAATCCAATTTTTTTTAAAGAGATGTTCATATGTTTGCTTAATAAGCATATTGATATTTTTTGGCATTATTGTTTATTGTTATTGCTGCAGTACATTTATTGTTAAATATAAATGATAAAATATATTTATAGGGAACTGAATGATCTGTATGAGGACTCTGGAATGTACTATGAAATAGAAACCATCTCTTATCATGTTGTCTCTAACAATGCTGACCCATCATTTAGCAAGTGAGTCATATATGTTTTATGAGTTTTTATTTCAGTTACAGTTTAATAGTAGATTTAATAATTATTTAATATACATTATAATTGGTGATTCATATCATCGGTTGAAATGCTTTTAAAATCGCTTGTATTTTCAGCTTGTAGATTAAAATATTCCCCCTTGACCAAATCAGTTGTTTTCATTGGCACTCTGATGCCTCAGCAAAAAATGAAAACCCTGTACATGTCTTAAATACTAGCTCTTAATTCATAATTTCAAAGTTTGTGTCATTTATTGATAGATTTAACATCTAAAGATTTCTTTTTACAGGACGGATGTCTGTCTTGTTGTGGTGGAAAACGATAGTGTATTGTCAGCTGTAAGTGCCTCAAAACGCCTCACAGATGTACAGAAAATTGAGGGAATTTTAGATAGATATGGTGCTGTAGATCCTGGGGTAGGTATCATACTGCAGAGAAAGGAATAATTATTATAATAACATGTTTATAAAAAATTGTAACGTCAACATAAGACCTTTATAGAATTTTCGAAGCTTAAAACATGACCAGAAATAAAATTTAGAAACTATTTTCTGTTAAATAATTTGAAAACCCATAGTGGAAATTGCACCACTTTATAATAATGCCACTGAAAAAATATTGTATTTCGAATAAATTTCTTGATAAGTGTCGTACATTTGGGTAACAACTATGTGTCCTACTATGTCACAATCCTTGCAGCTTAACCAGACCGTCTACTGATGGCTGATCTACTTTTATGTTTCATACTGATCCCCAAATTTGAAGAAGTGCCAAAAATAGAAGTGGTTCATTAAATTTTAGCTAAAGTAACTGAAAACAAAATTGTCAGCTCAAAATTCAAAATCTTGTAAGTCCAGTACATCAATTAATGTATGTAAATGTTGAATAAATTTTATTTCTGTCTTGTTTCAGTCATGTGATCCAGCAGTAAGTGTGTATCCAGTTGGCTGGGAGAGTTACTGGTGGGTCCTCGTGGCCTTCGCAATATTTATATTTGTTTGCTGCCTTATTCTCATCTTGCTAATTTGTGTCCTCTACCGACAGTAAGTTTATTCTTGGTTTTTATTATATTAATTCTCTTACTTATATTTATTATATCTGAAGTTTGATATAGTGTGATGCAAATTTGCTGCTCATTTAGATTGAAGGATAGTTAAAGTCTTCATTGCACACACAAATAGTCTGGAAACTGATCTGATGATATAACTTGGTTGAATTGAATTCTACCTGTATGATTAAAGAAAAAGAAACTTCTTGCAAAAAGTAACGTCTGCAAGTATGACACTAAAATGCTTGATGCCATTTTTACTTACTTATACTACCAGTATAGTGCTTGAACATCCTGTACATTGCTGTAATTTGATCAAACCTTCTACTGCAAACACTTTAAAAAAATTATCTTAAAAAACATTGTATTTACAATGCACTGTTCTCAATTGAATGAAAGCAAGTCCATCTCAGAAATATAAAATGGTAAACGTTTACCTTCTTATCAAACTTTAACTACAGTGTGTGGTATTATGAAGTTTTGTGCATTGTTGAGTATAATACTGAATTATATTGGACTGGTTTACAGCTGAGTTCTATAATTCTATTGGACATATATAGCTGACAAACCTTTTACACAGAACTTTGTCCAAAAGACTTGTTAGTAAATTTTGGTTGGAGATCAAAGTTGTAATCCCAGTATTTTTCCCTCAGGTCTTTATAATTATAATGATTCACAACATTGACGAGTAAATGAAAAACACTGGATTTATAAATAATTTATGTTATGTGTTAATTTTTCAGATACAGACAATATATGGATTCAAGAAAAACATGTAAGTTTTCAATTTTCTTCAGCAAATTACCATCAATCATAGTAGTGACTTGAATAGTAACAAAAAAATGATGCCACATTTACACTAAAAAATTTCTTGACACATATAAGTTATGTTTAATATAATGTAAGAATATATGGAATAGTTAGTGTGTCATTTTTCTTTGCATTTTCAAATTTCTACACTAAATGATAATACATGTATTTAAAAATATTCTAGTACCGATATTATAGAAAAGTTTTATTTGCGATTCAGTTTTATAAATTAATTTAAACAATTTAATAAAGGCATATTCCTGTCATTAAAGTTGCTGTTTATCAATTATAATTTGGCAATGTTTGTTTCATTTCAGATTTAGTGCCAAATTGAGGAAAAGTAATATGTTTAGATCAACTTTAAATCACAGTGGATTAAAAATAAGTTAAAAGATGTAAGTTAAACATTAAACTGTGAACATATGGTAACATTTTTAGACATTCTGAGATAAGCTTTAATGATTTTTACCAGCCGACTTTATTTGGAAAGCTCACTTAAAAGTAAACTTTGTCCAAGATTTGTCAAATAATTTTCCACCCACTCTTGTAAACAGTTGGTGATGAAAAATTGACAGTTTCTGACAAAATTGACAGTTCCACACAAAATTGACAGGTCCAAACAAAATTGACTGTTGCAGATAAAATTGGCAGTTGCAGACAAAGTTCATATCTTAAGTACATGTGATATTAAATAGACTACAGAATATATGCAATGATGTGTGTAAACATATGTGTAAGGACACCATGTGTTCAAAGCATTCCTTACATAAAACATAAAGTGTGTAAAACATATGTGTTAAATGAATGTGTTAAATGATTAACTTGTTATGTATATAATATTGTTGTTAATTTTTTCTTAACTTTTTTTGTAAAAAGAAATGATACATAGAGAAACAAATGGTGTAAATATAAAGTTTAGTGTTTTATATATTTGTATAAATATACTATTAATGCATTGTAAAGACTTATTTCTTGTACAAACTGTCACAAATTATTATGTATAATGTTACCAGAGTTAAATATTGGTAATTACATGTAACATTCATATTTCATAAGTTGAGAGACACAGTCCCATACAACATGTAATGTTTTGTTTATTACAACTTGTAAAAGTTAATCACAAGTTGATTACAACTTGAAATGTTGATTACAACTTAAAGTGTTGATCACTTAAAAAAAATTTAACATTAAAACTTACATAGAAATTTGATTTCAGCATAAAACTAGGTGATAAATATTTTTCTCACATAAGTGCTGTAAAAAGGAAGATTTTTTTTATTTGTGGTCAGAAATAAAGTAGTTTCGTGATCTATTTAGGCTGTCTACCTTTGTTTTTGGATTTGTTATCAATGGTTATTTGATCGTTCAAAATTGAAAAAAATTATTTCATTGGTTTGAATCTCTCTATTGAAATGTGAGATGACTGTATACCAACAATTTCTCTATTCCTCCAGGTATAGTGCTGATTTGATGTTACCTGAAATATACTCATTACTTGTATCATTAATGCCATGTAGTTCCAATAAACATAATGTCATGTGGTTCTGTTAATTAATGGAGGCCATGTGGTTCTAAAATATCATTATGTCATGTGGTTCTGTTTTGTGATAGATGCCATGAATTGTGGTTACAATATTTCATAATACCATGTGGTTCTGTTATGTGTTGGATGCCATGTGACTTTATGATTTTAATATGCCGTGTAGTTCTGTTATTTGATGGATGCCATGTGGTTATAAATATCATAATGTCATGTGGTTCTGTTATGTGATGGATGCCATGTGACTTTATGATTTTAATATGCCATCTAGTTCTGTTATTTGATGGATGCCATGTGGTTATAAAATATCATAATGTCATGTGGTTCTGTTTTGTGATAGATGCCATGAATTGTGGTTACAATATTTCATAATGCCATGTGGTTCAGTTATGTGATTGAGGTCACATGACTCCCAAGATTTTATAATACCATGTGGGTCTGTTACATGATAAAAGCCATGTGACTCAAGATAAAATAATACCATGTGATTCTGTGATCAATGTCATGTGACATTATGTTTACATAACAGCATGTGGTTGATGAATTCCAAGTATCTATCTGTCTGTAAAGGCAGGAGATTCTATAGTGTCAGCTCTTACTGCATGTGTAATTTAAAAATTTAAGATAAAATCATGATAGAACATTATATGAAAATCTCATATTTAGTTTTTATATGCAATATTTTTGTAATAAACATTGCCAATTGCTTGACATCTTGTTCTTGATCAATTTCAGCTCCACCCATTATAATAAGGCTTAATGCAAAACTTTTCTGTATGTATACTTTAATACAGAAAAAAGTAATACATTGAGTCCTTGATACATGTATTTATACCACTTTGCATGTGCAAAATACCATATTGCATGTGCATAACTTTACAATAATTGTATCTTCCATTGACTTCAGATTTCAGTTAAATGACAATTTTCCAATTTTAGACTGAAAAGTGAATTTTACATAAAGATTCATTAAAATTGCATAAAAAAATCTCTTGTCATGAACTTCAGTTTGAAATTGCATGTCTTAACTGTCGGCAGTTTACATGAACTATAGTTTATATTGGTTAAACAACTTACAAGAACTAATGAATAGATTTATAGTTTTTATTTTCCATTCTTTATACAGGTAAATTGCTACAATTTACAAAGGTGAAAAAAATATGTCCACATTGTTTGCATTAACTCATGCTGTACTAGATAGTCAAACATGAAATATCTTACATTAACATTATCATGACTTACTTATAAGTAAAGCTTGTGTTAAGAACAATTAACACTTAAAACTATTGGTTAAGATAGAAATTATACTGTATAAAAACGTGATATATCGAACTCTCTGGCACATTTTAGATATAGTTGAATATAGAATACTGCATTACAAATAATTAATATACTAACATTATAGCAACATTTATAAATACATGTATAGTAGGACACAAATGCCTCATCAGGCTACATGTAATGATGTATGTATAAATATATACATGTAATTTGATGAATAATCAGACAATATTTTAAATAAGTAAATAAAGCTTTCTTTTAACAACAGAGCATCCAACAAAATATGTTTCATTGTATGACCTAAACTTGCCACTTTGACTTTTAATAATAGACATGCCCTCATACAGACTACTGGCTTATGTCTCATTATTGTCACAGACATTGCAAGATTCAAACGAGAAATAAAGTGACCAAGGAAATCTACCTAATAATTAATAATGTATTTTTTGCATCGTTATGGCACATTCATTTATATATTGCATAAATTTACACAGCTACAGCGAAAAAGGGATGGTCTATATCACCAGTATATAGCCAGGCCACATCTGTGCTTCCATTTAGCCAAACCAAAGTCATGATTTTGGCGTAATTAACTTAAGAATTGTGATACCAAAATGAAAATCTTGCATGATAAAAATTGACAGTTTTAATTTCAAGAGCTGACGTCCATTAAACAAATAAAAGGATTAACAATAACGTAAAGATTCCAAGCCAAGTCAACTCTTGTCCTGCACCATTTATTTATCAATTTAATATATTGGTATCAAAATACGGAAGCTGTTTTAGAATATGTCTAGTTGGTATGACTGCACAAATGACTGACTGGCCCAACTCCAAGACAAGTGTACACTGGTAGCAGGTCAGTCATTACATCTCTTACGCACAAAAAGTATCTTATAAAGTATGAAAGAACAAATACTAGTTCCAACCTGTAAAAGAATGGACAACAAACTTTTACACTGTGGTCTGTGATAAAAAAATTTCTACATAACTTGCTATGTTATTCTCAAACATACTGGCACAAAATCACTCAACTTTTGTAGGTCGGTCTACATCAAATATTAAATAAGTACAAATTCCTAATTCTATGTTTTACCTCTTATAATACTATAATTGCATGCATAGAAACATTGTATTTTTTAAAGACATAGAGGATATTGAATTAGTGTAAGTTCAATACTAAATTTATTGAACGAGTTGAATAAAATTAAATTATGCGAGCCTCTGGATATTATCCACTTAGAAATGCTTTTAAGCATGGAAAGCTCACTGCATATACTAACATAGTTATTTCTTTCATGCAGGCATTTTTTATTAATAATTATTACACTTTACAAAATTCAACAAAAATACAAAAGAGTTTTGATATTTAACATTTCTGATTTTCACACATGGGTACATTATGTAATCAGAATAAAATGTTCCAGAGCAAAATAATTATTATGATGCTATTTTAAGGAGGATATTATCCACTTAGAAATGCTTTTAAGCATGGAAAGCTCACTGCATATACTAACATAGTTATTTCTTTCATGCAGGCATTTTTTATTAATAATTATTACACTTTACAAAATTCAACAAAAATAATTTGTTAGCTGTAGGCAGCAGAGATACAGTTTAAACACTTTAAATGCAATTTATAATTTCATATTATTTTGTAAAATTAAAAATAACTGTTACAAAATATTACATTAAATCTTTGATGTCAAAGGAAATGACTTTCCGGCATTTACATGAAATAAACACTGAAATCAAAGTCATAAGCAGAAACTTTTACTGTTTAATGTTGAGAGCAAAAACATGTGATCTTTCTGTCTTGCATTAATAAAAAAAAATATATTAATCATAGTTATACATGATACACACTTATACACTAAAAAACAACTTCTTTAGCAAATCCTCTCAAGGCAGGAATAAAAAATCTCATGATAAAAACTCCAATTTAAAGAAGGTTAGAATGCAGAAGATTATTTAAAAGCACTTGCCTAAAGTACATAATTCAATCATACAAAGTCTCTTGTTGATTAAAACAAAACATGTCTACCGACAGCGCACTACACTTTTCTCAGTGTTGTGAAAAAAGACAACATAGAAAAGCGGACATAATTCTACAGACATGCTAAGCAGCTTAATAGACAACAATGATTTTACAGTGAATACCTTAACAGTTTTTTCTACTCCTGAGAAATGCATTTCAAATTAAGGAGTGAACAATTACTCCAAGTTTAAAGTGAACATCTTTCAAGCTTTTCGAGAAACTTAACCAGGAAATTCAAAGTAAAAATGGATATAACTGAGAAAAAACACTCTAAAGTTACGTGTTCTTGAGAAATTTATTCTATTTGAAACATTAATTAAGAAACAGTCAGGTAAAACTTTAAAATAGTATAGGATTATATGCCCTGTTGAAATGGCGTTCTTTTATGTCAATAAAAATGTAGTGAATAGCTTTTATACTTCCTGCAAAAAATGGACCTTAAGGAAAAGGTTAACCAAAGCAGACGCTGTCACCAATGCCAACCAGAGGGTCATGACAATAGCTCCACTTTTTCTCTTTGAAAACTGAAGTTAAAACACTTTTAGACGCTTTGCATCAGATTCAAAGGAATTTACTTTCTGGTATTAACATGGTATAAACACTGAAATCAAAATTATAAGCAAAAATTTCACTGAAAATGGTGAGAGCAAAGACACAATTATAATCTTTCAACAACAACAACAGATATTATCCAATCACACATGGCTATGTCTCTAGACTAGAGCCCCTATCCTGGTTCCTGGCCAACTCCACAATATCGGTCATTTTGTCTATTTTAGGTTTAAGATATACACCACACCATTCATCAACAGTATCAGGAAAGAAAACAACCTTCAGAGAAGTTTCAAACTTTTTATGTAAAAGTTTTAAGCCATTTAGAAGCCTGGAATAGAACAACAAAAGAAACTATCGGCATTTCTGGTATCGATGAGAAATTGTTAAGAATCAGAAAAATAGGACGTTCGTATATGTATATTAATTGACCTTGCTTTTGATGTCCATGTAAAATCACTTGCTTTCAGTTTCAAAAAAAATTTAAGTGAAGGCATGCACAGACGAAACACAATATTCAAATTCAAAACAAGTATTCAGTTTTTATGAAAACTAACAATTGAATGTATAATTGTTCTACCTAATAAAGACTTTTTTTCGCTGGACATTAAGATGAAAATTTTAAGTTGGTAGGCCAACAACATAGAGCCTGATCAGACTGCACAGATATAAAAGCTGGCCTGAATCTATACTAGTGGTAAAATCTAATAAATATTACTGTTTGAACATCAATATATTTAAGTTGAAAAAACAACAACAAAACACACACACACAAAAACAAACATTAACTGTTGATCACAGGGACTCAATTTTGCACCAAAACTTCTGATTTATATATTCTTATATTAGCCTTATTAAAGAGGTTGAATAGCAATCACTCCTGTCAGTTCAATTTCTGATAAAACGGCAAATAATTCTTCATACATTGTTAGCTGTCCAGTAAGCTTAAGAAACGACAATGCCTCTATTTAAAAGTGCATAGTGGTTTGAGGCATTTGCTTTATTCCAAATCTTGTAAACTCACAATGTTATGATATTATTTGTTCTAAAAAAATCTCTAATCCCCCAAAAAGGAAATTTCTATAAAAGTTTATACTGTGCAATAAGACAGTGTGCGTACATACCTTACTGCTTGAGCCAGTAGTGCTTCTAGATGCATTGGGTTGGTGAAGTTTCTACGCATGTGATATTCATTCATCCATGACAATCTCCTACAAAAATCCAATTAAAATAAACCATCAAATTACAAACTTAAATTTACAATTGATTATAAATCATTTTACATGTTCTCGTCCATACTCTATGCATCAAGCAGTATAATACTGTTTATATTTAACATACCAATACGTTTGAAAAGAACATCAAAATTTGCAAGTGTATAAATTGAGCTTAAAATTGAAATTTATCTTGTAAAGATCATAATATTAGTTACTAATCTATATAACTTTCAAGGAAGCTTACATAACTTAAAATATTTAGTGTCTTAGAGCTCTCCAATTATCCCAAAGAGTCGAGGTTGTGATTTTAACTATCATTTAAGGATCTCCACTAAGATCCATGGTTTTAAAATCATCAAATTTACCACTATTTTAGATCCGTGGTTTTATAAAAGCATCCAATTCAAAATTCAGTAATCAATGGGTGCACCAGAAAACGGAAAATATATCAATGAACAAACTAATAAGGCAATTTACTCAAAAATAAACTTGAAAATTATTCCATGTGTGATATTTTAAGCCTAGTTTTTTATTTAAAAACGTTGAATAACTTGACAAAATTATGTTTTTTAGGAAAGTTAGCAAATGTATTGTTGTAAATGATGCAGCTGATAATGTTTTCATGATGCGATTATTTCAGGCCTTGTAATGCCTGGACAGGCAGACAGACAACTCTGTATTAAAATACATGTACATCCTGAAGACATATCTTCAGGGGCGTATAAGAATTGGTAAAACAAGTATTTGAGAGAGGGACATACCCTTCACTATGCAGGAAATCCTCATAGGCAGCTTCTAACCTGAGTAGTTCTATTGTGTCTTTATAAATATCTGAACCAGGAAATTCACATGCTGGAATGTCCTTCCTATAAAAAGTGAGAAAAGAATAATACCATGACCTTTCTACAAATCTTCTCCCCAAAAACTGTCAATGACAATAGTGAACTTACTGATATTGTATTGGTATTTGTTAATTTATTTAGAATTCTGTATATACCAAACTCTCTAAGAACTTTGCCATGCAAAAACGTCATACCTGGGCAGAATAGAAAAGAAAAATTGAAAAGTAATTTAATTAGAAATACATGTATATAAAATCTATTACGAAAGACATTCTTCTTTCAAAACTGTTCTGGAACAAACATCCTCGCATGCAACTTTATTAGAACGATATTATGAAGAAAAATATAAATCATAATGACTTTAATGTTAATATGCTCTCTACAAACGTTTTTAAGTATGGACATTTACAAAGAATAATAACTCCTGATTATACATAAACAGAGTTACAGCTTTTTAACATCTCACTTTACAACATCAAAATTTATTTACCAAATAAGTTCTATGTTGATACTTATATAATGTTTAGCTCCAGATAAAATGAATAATTAGCCCCAGTGCTTCGTTTTGAACAAACTTGGTAGACATTCACTATAGGATGTTTCATGCTTAGTATCGAAACTCTAGCTCCTAGGGTTTTTTAAAAGAAGATTTTTTTAGGTTTTTACACATGTATAAGGAAAATCAATGTCCCCCAGGGAAAGGCCAATTTAGACTAAAGGCTCTTATTTGAACAAACTTTATAGACACATTTAAGAAGATGTTTCATGCTAAATATCTTATCTCTCGCTCTTAAGTTTTTTTCAAAGACGAGTTTTTAAGATTGAACAATATACAAATAGGGAAAACAATAACCTGCAGGGCGGGGCAAATTTTGACACCAGGGCTATTGTTTAAACAAATTTGGCAGACACTTACTAGAAGATGTGTCATGTCAACTATTTAAGCTCTAGCTTCTTTGGGGTTTTTTTTGTTTTTTTTTTTAAATAATATTTTTTTAGTATTTTTCTTTCGGTTGCCATGGCAACCATAGTCCTGCATGGAATTAAATTCTTTAAACAATTTTTAAAAGTGGCCACCAAATTAACATTCCTGTGAAGTTTGGCTCAAATTGGCTTAGTGGTTTATGAGGAGATGTTTTTTTAAGTAAAAGATTACAGATAAACCGATGGACGGACAAACAACGGATGAAAAGCGATCACAAAAGCTCACCTTGTCACTTTGTTGTGACAGGCGAGCTAAAAATTACAAAAAGGAAAGACTCAATAATTGTGAGTACAAGAAATATGGTTCAAGTGGATACGTTTTATAACCAGTCCTGATCATTAGAAAGGGTTAATAGTCCTTGACCTGGACAGAAATTACAAGAAACATGAACTAATCCAGATCTAATCAACCTATGAAGGAATTTTGTATAGACAAATGAAAAATCAAGAATGAAATGATAAGCAATGACATGCATTTTAATTTAAAAACACCTGAGTGTTTTAAATGATCTCAAAATGTCATATTGCATACTACTACTACATGTTATACATGCCTTAATATCTACCTCAAATTATTTCAAAAATTGTAGTCAATACATTATACACTAATCAATATTTAGATCACAAAGTACTCCAATATTAAAATAGGAAAATAAAGCTGTACTATACATACTAGTAATACCTATATAAAACAAAAGCACCGCTAGGCGGAGCATTTTATGCCCGGAAGTGTTTTTTTTAGTAAGGATGAAGCATTTGTAAGACATGGGAATTAGCTGTTCATCCTATAAAATTTTACAGCTGTAGGTTGATTAATACTTAAGTTATTAATAATGACCTTAACCTTTTACCTTGTGAGCCCAAAATCAATAGGGGTCTTCTACCTTATATGGACAATCATCTTAAGAAGTTTGAATATTGTGGGCCAAATGGAACTTTAGTTATGCTCTAGAAACTGTTTTCAGTATTAAGGTAAAAGTGAATAATAAAGGCTGAATGAGCAAATGTGTAAAAATCTATTATAAGCACTGGTGACCTTGACCAAACTGACTACTTACTCCATCAAATTTTATGTTTCTATCAATTATAAATAACATCTGTCTATAGAATAAGGTTAATAAACCTGTAAAAATGTAAAAATCGGTTTTTTCACATTGGTGACCTTGACATTGGTAACATTGACCTTGACCCAAATGACCTCTTACTACACCCAAAGAAGGTGGACCTCCCTTGGCATGTTTGTATTAAACTAAGACATCAACTAAAAATTAAAAAGGCTGTATGAGCAAAAATGTTTATATTTATTTTTTAAACCAGTGACCTTGACCCTAGAGACCGCTTACTCCACAATTAATTAGAGGACCATCAAAGGTATCCACCTACTTAATATGAAAGATATCATTAAAAAAAATAAGCAATTAGGAGAAATTTCAGAGAAATCCAACTTGCCATAATAGATTAACCAGACAAGGCCCTATTTTCAAAATGAAAAAAGGGAAATAACTTGGAAATATGGATGACACAATTATATAACTTGGCAATATCATGTACTTTGTATTGATAAGTAAGTGTGGAAATTATAAAGCCATTAGTATAGATAGAACTTAAGATATTTCCAACTTGCCCTTTTAGGTTAACCATTATTCATTTTCTTAGTGCTGAAAAGGGCCATAACTTGGTGCAAATGGAAGCCATAGTTATGTAACTTGCCCAGACTATATACTTTTTATGGATTAGTAAGTGTGTAAATTATGAAGCCATTGGTACAGGTAGAACCTAAGAAAAATCCAACTTGCCGTTCTAGGTTAACCTCGTACGGACAGACTGACGGACATTCTTACCAGAGCTACATTATGGGGTTTTCTTTTGTTATTTCTTTTGTTCTTTTTAACCCCACAATGCAGAAAATAACCCCACAAGAGAAACGGAATGCATGACATCAAAGACATCTATTGTTATGAGAACAATAGACAAAATCTCATAATGTAGCTCTGGTTTGTACGGACGGACAGACGGACGGACGGTTCAATTACTATATGCCCCGGGCATAAAAACTTAAAGTACTTATGATGAACAGCATTATTATCAATTTTATGTTCTTACTTTTAAATTGGGATCCATTTTAAAATATATTGTTGTTTTTTATAAGGACATATATTATTATGCTTCAGAAAGAAACCAATTTTTATCTCCTATAAAATGGCAACCATGGGTTTTACAATCACGGAGCTGATTATTAAAGTTTTAACCTTAAAGATATAAGGAAAACCCATGATTCCCAGCAAGGCTATAATTTGAATGACACAATGTTTCATGCAAAATAGCTAACCTCTAATCTGATATGATTTTTAAAGACATATAAACAAACTTTGTAGCGGTCCACTTTATGTTGATTCATGACAAATATCTAAGCTTGAACGGCTTTGGGGGAAAAAGATATTTAAAGAATTTCCTATAAACATATACGGAAAACCACTGACCCTTTAGGTGGGGGCAATTTAAATCCATGGGCTCCGAACAACTTTGGTAAAGATCCACCTTAAACCAAATATCATAGCTTAACTCAGAGGAGATGATTTATAAAGATTTTTTTCGGTTGCCACCCGTACTAAAACTTCCGCCCTGACTGTAGGTGGAATCCACCTATGTAGTAAAGCGGATTCCGCCTTAAACTGAATAGAGTTGAAAACTGCTTCTTAGGCGGACCTTAAGCGGAATATGGTGCGAAATATTTTAATGAGCTAAGGTGGAATCCACCTATCTAGACGGAATCCGCCTTAGCTCATTTAAATATTCCGCTTAAAGTCTGGCTATGTCAGCGGATTCCGCCTACCTTAGGCGGATTCCGCCTACCTTAGGCGTATTCCACCTACCTTAAGCGGATTCCGTCTACTCTAGGCAGAAAAAATCCTAGGCGGAAAATTTTTCGCCTTGTAACAAATACAATGATGACTAGCAGAGTTCAACATGAAATGAATATTTCTGAACAACTTTTAAAGATCACCCGAAGATCATTTCTTGAAATGTTGTTCACAAAGAAGAGTGGACGGACGGATGCCTGATGAAGGAAGTTTAGTGATGACAATAGCTCACTTTGAACAAGATGTGCTCTGGTAAAGCTTAAAAGTTACCGCTCAAAGTAAATTCAAAAGACATGTGGGATTAATGACACAATCAAGTCATTATAACTCAAATAATTGTTTACAACAATAAATACAATGTAATTTAATAGGCTGCTCAATACACAGTTATTTAACAGGCTAACTTATATAGTTTTTACCTGCCACCCCTGTGTACTTTTAAATTTGAGATTGTCCATTCTCAATCATATTTAAATCTATAGTATGTGTATAAAAATATTTACAAGATCAACACAGAATAATTTGTTTGGATATGTTTAAAGTTTGTACCTAACTACCTTAAATGATGATTCTTACTGATTGTTTTTGTTAATATTGAAAATTGCATGAATTAAGTTTTCCATTATTATGCTGTATTTTAATTACACTTAAATTATTACATAAACGGTGAAATATGTCACTGCACTGTTATATAGTACCTTTCTTAAGTGACCTAAATATTTTCATATTATATTTATTATATATTTACAGTCATGGTTTAAATAAACTCAAAAATTGTACACTGATAATACAGTGGTTTGATCAAAATCTAGTACGATTCAAACTACTCTATCGATATTACAATATCCGCTGTTTTACATATAGAAGTTAAATTTGTTAAACTGTTAATCAATAATCTCTGATATGTTTGTTTGTAGTAACTAGGAAGTAAAAATTTAAAGTAACTGTATAAAATGGCGGACGGAAGTTTAGGATCAGATGAATTTATAAATTTTAAATGTTGTTTATGTCAAAAGAAACATATAACAAAAGAGGCGGATGTTTATTGTGTGGAATGTCAGGATTATTATTGTACACCATGTACAGATGTGCACAAAATGTTTCCTGCAATGAGCACACATCAGTTTATAGACAAGTCAAGTTTTAACAGAGTTAACTTTCCGAAATCGTTGCCAAGTTTTCCAGTTGAAAGATGCGAAGCTCATAAAACCAAGTTGCTAGATATGTATTGTGCTGACCACGATGATATCGCTTGTGCAACCTGCATAGCCATAAAACACAGGTTAGAGTCTTTGATAATAGTATTTAATTTAACTGAAACAAGAGCCACGTCAACATGGCCATTCCCCGCCAAATGTGTTTGCTCATTGGAAGAATATATATGTAGTAGAGCAGAATAATTCAATTTAAAGAGGTCTTTTGGTAATGAAAACTGATGGCTGAAATGATTATAGATTTGAAACCTATGTGAATACTGATGGCTGAAAATAACAAAGGGCAATAACTGAAAAAATAATGCAGGGTAGGTTATCATTCTTGTGTGCTGCACCCCTCCTCAGTAAAATCTATCCACCTATGAAGTTTCAAGTTAATACCTAAAATACTTTTTGAGATACGCTCCGGACAAAATAGTATGAAAAAGAACATAGGACAATAACTCAAAAATTATATAGCGAAGAGTTATCATTCTTGCACACAGCATTCCTCCTCAATAAGATCTATCCACCTATGACATTTCATGTTGACATCTCAAACACTTTTTGAGTTATGCTCCACTCAGATGAAAAATTAAGTATGAAAAATAACAAAGGCAATAACTCAAAATTTATGAAAGGTAGAGTTATCATTCTTGTGCAATGCACCCCTCCTGAGTGAGATTTATGCACCTATGAAGTTTCATGTTGATATCTCAAAGGCTTTTTGAGTTATGCTCTGGACAAAAATTAATTTTGAAAAATAACAAAGGGCAATAATTCAAAAATTATGCAGGGTAGAGTTATCATGTTATCATTCTTGTGCACTGCACTCCTCCTCTGTGAGGTCTATCCACCTATGAAGTTTCATGTTGATACCTCAAATACTTTTTGAGATATGCTCCGGACAAAAATGTCAGACGGAAGGACAGACAGAAGGACGGACGGACAGAGACTATTTCTATAAAAGGCGGCGGGGGATAATTAAAAGTTTAGACAGTTGCATTTTTAATCAATGTAAAATTACCTGAAACTGAATTAAAGAAATTCATATCTCTGTTATTATTATCATACAATAGAAAACTTATAAGCACATCACATATGCTCACTTGTTGTTGTTCCAATTCATATGAGTTTCAAATTAATCAGTGAAGATATTACGAATATATATTTCAAATGCTATGTGACCTAAGTAACACAGCAAACTGCCTCTGAATAATTCTATTATCTTTTTTTCGCAATTTAAGACACACTTGCTTAGTTTATATATATTGCCAAAATTTAAAGCAGCACACCTTCAGATTCTTGCTAATTTTCATGAAAATTTTGAAACTGTATTTGAGTGTGTAATATTGTGAAGTAACCAATAGGAAGCAATTTAACATTATCAATGACACTTACAAACCATGTTAATTACCAAAAAGTGGTCAAAATATGCATAAAATAATAGCCTTTACTGCGTTAGTAAGAGAAGAAATATAGTTGTAAATACTGAAAAATCAGTCATTAATCGCATATAAAATGTAAAATATTACTTGAATCTTAAAACTTTTTACTTTTCCTTACAGCTTAGTAAATTTTTCTCAAGTTTGATTTTATTGCAATATTTTGACTCATCTCGAGCTTTAAATCTATGGCTAATGTGTAATTTTTTTCAAACTGTAACAGTGCACCAAAAATATAGCATTAATGAGATTAAATGGACCTTTCACTTATATCACAATTCATTCTCATAATTTATTTTTTACATTAAAATTTTCAGAACATGTCAACATATACATTCGGTACCAGATGAAGTTGATGACTTGTGTAAGGAGATTGATGCTGATAAAACAAATATTGAGCTGATTCGTATAAAAACTAAACTTGAAGGCGCTGAGAGAGCAAAGAAACGTCTTGTAAAAGAGCTTGATGCACAGAAGGACAAGGCTGTAGAGTCAATCAGACAATTCAGAAAAGAAATGGAAGGAATACTGGACACACTTGAAAAGGCGACATTAAAATCTTTAGAGGAAAAGTACAAAAATGGCAAAGAGAAATTAGAGAATGAGATTAAAAACCTACAAAGACATATTGATGAACTCGAACTATCATCACAAAAACTAACAAAGTCAGTTGGTAATAAAGCGCAAGAGTTTGTCGCTGTGAAAACTTCTCGGAAACAAATCATGGAAGCTAATGAAGCAGAAGCAGAGTCTGTGACAAATTCATCAGATGTTAAAGTTAAATTCATTGCTGATTCAACAATAAAGGATGCTTTGAAAGACTTCAAGACATTTGGATTAATTTCAGTGAGTAATACTGAAAATAAAAGAGACAAAATGTATGTTGTGAAAAGGAAGAAACAAGTCAACATCAAACATGTAAATGATAGGGAGACATGTTATATTTATGGTTCATGTTTCACAGATGATGGACTATTAATTCTAGCTGATTATGAGAATAAATCATTAAAGCTTATTGATATGTCTTCAGAATCCATAAAACATCGGTTAGATTTTGATGTGCCTCCACAGACAATTTGTCAAATAAGCAAAAAAGACTTTGCAGTAAGTTTGGACAATCAAACCATTCAATTTGTTACAATTGGAGACAAACTTGTTACCACCAAACAACTGAAGCTAGATCATTACTGTTATGGACTGGCCTACAAAGACAACAAATTATTCATTTCTGATGAAAATACAGCACTCTACATTCATGATATGAATGGCACCATGTTGCAAAAAACTACAACTGACAAACAAGGCAGTGCAATTTTCAGTAGCAACAGACATATCAGTGTTAGCAGTGATGGCAAGATGATGTATGTGACTGATTTAAGTAAAGGTCTGATTGTTCTTGATCTTGAGGGAAATTACAAGACAACAATTATTGATCCGGATTTTGTTTCCTTACAGGGAGTGTGTACGGACAAACGAGGAAATATATTTGTGTGTGGAATGGGGCAGTCAAACATTTTTCAGATCAATGAGAATTCTGGTGAAAAAAAGGGTATTCTAGGGGATGTTTGTAATAGTTTGTCTTGTAGCTTTGACTTGAAACATAATAGACTGGTAATTACCATTTATGACAGTAATACAATTGAGGTGTATGATTTACTGTAAAGCAATATACTGACAGCAATCAAACTAAATATGAGTGCACTATTTTCACTTACTACATACACAGATGTTTTATAACAAAGAAAAACTTCAAATACTTTTCATGAAAACATTTCTATGGATTTTTTCTTTCTTTAAATTTATCATTGAATTTTTTTTTTCAAACATTAAATAATTTTATAATATGCTCTACACTGATTACTGTGTAATGTTGCAGTTTGGTATGCTACAATAAAGGGGATATGCATGCATTATATTTCACTGCTTATATTTTGTGTTAAGGCTTACTTTTTTATTTAAAAGAATAAGAGTCAGGTCATTTTTAACCAAGAACATTTTTGGTACACACAAATGCCCCTGGCCCAGATTCTTGCTATTAACATTTTTTTTTTCAAAAACGGTTTACCCATTCACACAGTTATTTGACAGAATAATTGCCAAAACAAGAACTGTCATTGGTAACAGACAAATGCCCCCCACCACAAGCTGGGACAAGTAGAGAAACCATGACCTTGACTTGCATCAAAGGTGTGGTTACAATAAAGAGAGTGTTTTAATAATATAGAAACATTTACAAATATCATATCATATTCTCAGTATCAACAACAAAAAATCTGTGAGTGAATGACCAAAATATGACAAGACACAACCATCAATGTAGAATTTTCACATTGTATAACCATCATCATTTTAACAGTCGACCTGGCCTTTGAATGTGACAAGTTTTACTAATGTGCAACAGAAGTATGCCCAGTTATTTCAAAATTCATTAGTTTAAACATATTTATTCTCAGAATATGTACATAATAACATTTGAAATATATACACATACAAAATTTGACAATATTCAAAGAAGAGGATTAGAATGAAAGACTAGGTCTTATAGAATTCTTCTCCGTGTAATTCATTCATGGATGACAGAACTGATGACTGGATATAACTAAAGTTGCACTTTTATGAAAACATAAACCATGACCTTCAATTAAACTACAAACTCATCACAAATATAATGTTTTAAAGAACCATATCTTTAATCCAAGTTTATTACAAAATATGTCACTGAATGACAAAAAGCATAGTCTTGACATTACCATCAAGGCTCTGTCATATTATTATAACTTCTGACTTTCAAGTATGAACTTCACCTTTGGGCTTCTTAACTAAATTCTGCTCAATACATATCTCAATAAGCAGCATATTTATGCTTTGTTTGTTTGTTTCATTTTACGCCTTTTCCCAACAGTATTTCAGTCATATAGGCGGATAGTTTCCTAAGCATCGTTCCTGCAGAGTTACAACAGTACTTGACTACCTTCCTCTGTGCTAAACTACCAAATCATCTCCCGGTGATCGAACCCACGCCAGAGAGTTAACTAGATTAGAAGTCATCGGCTCTAATCCCTCGACCACGGAGGCGGTATTCTTGATTATTTCAAAGACCATTCCTGAATGACAAAGCTATGCACCAAAGAAGACAATTTAATCACAATTGTCTAGTTTGGCATACAAGTGTGACCTTTAAATGGAATACTTGACCCCTTTGTGCCACTAATCATCATCATGTCTTATACACTTATGCCTAATTATGAATACCAGAACTGTTGACCGGAAACAACCATCAATACACTTGAATGAAAAAATTCATATTATGACTTTGGAATACAAGTGTGACCTTCACCTTTGAGGTCAGGACCTGATCCATGCTCATGACATGCCTTAATGTCTAATACATTTATTTATGCATAATTATTTCTAAATCCATCCAGGAATGTCAGAATTGTTAAACCAACACAAACGTCAGTGTATTCTTACAAAAATTCATATCATGGCTTTTGACCTTGACCTTTGAGGTAGGGACCTGATTCATACTCGCAACACACTATCATTATGTCCAACAATTTTATGCATAATGATTTTTAAATCCATAACTAAAATAAAAATAGAGAAAATTATTTTCTTTACAAATAACGTTACACATTACACATGTCTTTAAATCAAATTTAATACATATCTTAATTGTATTATACTTACCCTTCAAATGGATTTAGTGGCAGGAGACCCTGAAATTTGAGTTGCTGGGTCACATCTGAATGAATACTAGAAGTGAATGTTTCTGGGGAAAAAAAAAACAATAACAATAAACATTTAAATGCAAAACCACACATATTTCTGTTTATTTATGGTATTAAAACATGAGAAATATAAATTTTAATGACATTTTCTGCTTGATATTAAAGGCTTGAGGTCAGTAAGATTTAATGCAGTTACATTAAATTAACATGAAATTAACAAGATGATAAAGCAAACGTATTAACAGCAGGAGATCGACACATTTATTTACATTCATATAATATCTGTTTATCACATATCCAAAATAAGGAAGAATGTACAGTTAAAAAAGTCTGTTATTATTCATGCACATATAGTGTAACACTAATACATATTTTTGTTATATTTGTTTATAATGCAAATAATGTGACGTCAAATTGTTATTACATAAGTGTAATATTGTTTGATTCAATTGCTTTATTACACTCCTGCGTGAAAAAAATTAATGTCTACTGATTCAACTATCGGCTAAAATAAAGTTTTTGCATGAAGATGACAGGAATGACACAGCAATCATAATAATTTGACTTTTCTTCAAAACAGAAGAGCTATTTAAAATCAATGTTTATTTCTTAAAAATAGAAATTCACAGTGTTTGTCATACAGTAAAATAGATGCTTCATACCTCTATTAATGACAGCCAAACATGTAAGTAAAGACGGTAGTGCCTGCGGTAACAACTCGCACAATATGGCATAATGATCATACCTTCAAAATAGAAAATACAGTAGAACTTCGGTAAGTCAAAGTTGAAGGGACTTGCCTAAAAACTTTGACACATCGGGACTTCGACTCATGAATAGGTCTCAATTTGATGACAAAATTTCGAGCCGTTTATGTATACAAGCAAGTTACAAAAGGCGTAACAAAAGGAAAGGGAGATAACTAACCCAGCTTATAGTAAATATATCCCCGTGTGATAATCACTCGACACTGGGTCACGGAAGTTCTTAAATGAAAGTAGTTCTAATTGTTTACTTTCAAATACCACTGATAACAAGTAAAGCACGTAATCACACATTTAAATGCAAACGAAGGCTGTTAGAACACAAGGCTATGTTATTAACACCTGTCACACAAGTGGTAAATTGTACTTGATTTATTCTATACCGCCCTCTAAAAAAGTTCGACAAATAAAAAAATTCGACACATAAAATTTCGACTCATATATAGTATTTTATAAGGAATATATAGGGGAAAAAATCGGGACTTTCATTTTACTTCGACACATCGAGAAAATTGACTAATCGAAGTTAGACTCATAGAAGTCCTACTGTACAATTTATCATTCTTAAGCTGATAATGTAACAAGAGGGCCATGATGGCCCTGAGGTCGCTCACCTGTATATAGGCCCCCCACCCCCACACACCCCCCCCCCCCCCCCCCCGACGTTGCAGGGCCAATTTAACCCAAGGGCTTTTATTTGCACAAACTTGGTAGACACCCATAAGAAGATGTTTCATGCTAAACATCTAAGCTCTAGCTCATTGGGCTTTTTAAAAGAAGATTTTTTTTAAGTTTTTACTATACACATATAGTTAAAAACAATGACACCCCTGGGGCCGGGCCAGGGCTTTTATTTGAACAAACTTTGTAGACACTTACTAGAAGATGTTTCATGCTTAATATCTAAACTCTAGCTATTTGGGTTTTTTCAAAGAAGATTTTAAGTTTTTGCTATACACATATAAAGAAAATCAATGAATATAAAGAAAATCAATGACCCCCTGGGCGAGGCCAATTTTGACCCCAGGTCTTTTATTTGAACAAACTTTGTAGACACTCACTAAAAGATGTTTCATGCTTAATATCTCAACTCTAGCTATTTGGGTTTTTTCAAAGAAGATTTTTTAAGTTTTTGCTATACACATATAAGGAAAATCAATGACCACGGGGCGGGGCCAATTTTGACCCCAGGGCTTTTATTTGAACAAACTTGGTAGACACCTATTAGAACATGTTTGATGCTAAATATCTTAGCCATAGCTCTTTGAGTTCTTTAAAAGAAGATTTTTTAAGTTTTTACTATATGCATATAGGGAAAATCAATGACCCCCCGGGCGGGGCCAATTTTGACCCCAGGGCTTTGATTTGAACAAACTTGGTAGACACTTATTAGAACATGTTTCATGCTAAATATCTTACCTCTAACTCTTTTGGTTCTTTAAAAGAAGATTTTTAAAGTTTTTACTATATGCATATAGGGAAAATCAATGACCCCCTGGGGCGGGGCCAATTTTGACCCCAGGGCTTTTATTTGAACAAACTTGGTAGACACCTATTAGAACATGTTTGATGCTCAATATCTTAGCCATAGCTCTTTGAGTTCTTTAAAAGAAGATTTTTTAAGTTTTTACTATATGCATATAGGGAAAATCAATGACCCCCCGGGGCAGGGACAATTTTGACTCCAGGGCTTTTATTTGAACAAACTTGGTAGACACCCATTAGAACATATTTCATGCTAAATATCTTAGCTCTAGCTCTTTGGGTTCTTTAAAAGAAGATTTTTTAAGTTTTTACTATATGCATATAGGGAAAATCAATGACCCCCCGTGGCGGGGCCAATTTTGACCCCAGGGCTTTTATTTGAACAAACTTGGTAGACACTCACTAGAAGATGTTTCATGCCAAATATCTAAGCTCTAGCTCTTATGGTTTTTTAAAAGAAGATATTTAAAGTTTTTTTCTTTCGGTTGCCATGGCAACCAGAGTTCTGCATGGAATTAAATTCTTTGAACAATTTTTAAAGGTGACCACCAAAGGAACATTCCTGTGAAGCTTGGATGAAATTGGCTTAGTGGTTTATGAGGAGATGTCATTTAAAGTAAAAGTTTACGGACGGACGACAGACGGACGGACGCCGGACGGACGCCGGACGGACGGACGCCGGCCAAAAAGCGTTCACAAAAGCTCACCCTGTCACTTTGTGACAGATGAGCTAAAAACACACAAATTACTACATGATGTAACAGTAACTATAATAAAATTAAAGTTATTGAGCAATTGATGGAAAAGTCTCAATATGACCTAAATGATGTAAGTGTAAACTTAAAACAAAACCAGGAACCAATCTTTATGGGTTAAAATTCCCACAATGGCTAATGAATTCTTTAATGCAAGGAAGCTATCAAGCCAACTTATAGAAAGTCAGTGATTCAACTTCTAGTGCCTATTTGTGATAATAATAATGTAAAGATGGGCAATTGAGGACTTCCTACACCAGTAAAAGTGAAAAATTACCATATGCCCTATCAATGTCATAGATGTGACTTGAAACCGACAAAATAAATAAATTGATATATAAAAACAATATCATTTGACATACATGTAGGTGTTCCTGACAGATAGATTCTAGAGACATTAATTTTCAGCATTAGAAAAAAATCAATAAATGATAAAGGCTATTTAAAGTATTTCTATTCTACCTTTTCCCTATACAGCGTAACTTCTGAAAACCAAACACCTGTGGGACTAGCCAAAAAGTTCGGAATTTGGAAGTTTCTGGAATTCAGAAGTTCGGAATTATCTGAATAAGTAGAAACATTAGGTGTACATTATACATCAATTGTTTTAGACAAACTGAAAAATATAGGAACTTTAGGAAGATTATTAAAGTCATAAAATGGCAAAATTATAGGACTTTAAAAAAGTTATAACTACATGTACATTGTACATTGTATCTCAAATTTCATTTTCACCTATAACTGATTTTGTTGATACAAAAGCATAATTTCATGTTGAACCAGATATTAATAAACTGTATTTTTTGTTTTTCATCATAATTAGCTTCTCATTTTGGATTTTTCACACTTTAATAAAGTGTTTGACATGGTTGACAGGTTGTGATTGTAATAGGTGTCAAGATATAACCCAAATTTTACAGGAAAATCGTTCGGAATTCAGAATTTGGAAGTTCCGGAATTCAGAGGTATTTATTGCATAGAAAACAGGAGCAGAAATTTTGGGACACTGAAAAATGTTCAGATTTCAGAAGTTTCCGGGTTTTAGAAGTTCGGGATTTCAGAAGTTACACTGCATTTTTGCATTGTACAAAATGAAAGGAGGAAAATATGTTTAAACCAACTTTATGTTCTGATTCAAGCATTTATACTTTATTAAATGTGTACATAAAGCATGCCTGTCCCCCCTCCCCCCCCCTCCACAAAAAAAAAGCACACACTAAAATGACTCCTCAATAAACTTATTGCCTAAAAAAAGTTTGACAGTATTATATATATAGGACAAGGACTGGATAAAAGTTTTCCTATATATCACATAACTCACCTTTGCCAGCCTGTTATTGCAATACCCTTGATGTTTTCAAACTTTGATTTGATATGATCTAGAACACTCAGCCAGGTGAGATGATTGTCAACATGATACATAATGTTGGTAGCATACATACATGCCCCTGTAGCACCTTTAAAAGCACTCGCCACCCAAATGTTACTAAACACTTTGGAAAAACGATCCCATATATCTACAATATTGAAACAACTTTAAAATTAAACCACATCAAAAACATGCACTTGTTATTTAAACATTTAATCTACAGAACAAATTGGCAATACTATCTATCGTCTTAATAAAATTTAGTACATGTATAATGTTTAAAAAACTTTATTTAGTTTTGTTTGTTTGATTGGGTTTTAAGTCACACCGACACAGTAAAGGTCATATGGTGACGTTCCAGCTTTACTAGTGGAGGAAGACACGAACAGGCACCTGAGTAGAACCACCAACCTTCTGTAAGCAAGACAGATAGCTAATCCTCCCATGAATGATTCCAAAGTCCCTGACAGGATTCATACCCACAGCGTGAGGGGCAAGTGGTTTGACGTGAACGACCTTAACCATTCGGGCTCAAACTTTAAATGAATGAATAAATACAAAAACACATTCAAATGTCATAAATTTACATGTGAGCAGCATAAAACTAATAACAATACTTACTAAAATTATTCAATGAAAAAATTTACAAACATAATATTAAATTATTAAATTCAAGGGAGATAACTCACCAGGTGGTAGCAGGAATGAGGGGAGGTAATGCCATACCATAATTTCTACAAGACTTCCTAAACCAGACTCTGAAATTATGATATGAAGTTCTTGAAATGATCAAAGTAACACATTACACCATTTTAAAAGCTGACATACTTCATCCATTTTGTTCAGGATTTTGATTGGTCAGTGAACATCCTGTGGCAGTTTCTGACCAATCAAATACCCAAGGTCTGAGTTTGAGCTTAGAGAATGTCTTTTTAACCTCAGACGCTGGTGAATAAATTCCATATCACTAATAAACTTTTGTTGTTGTTATTTTTCTATGACATACTGCTTAATTCTTTTGATAATTCAGCTGTAAAGATCAATTAACTTTCTAATTAACTAGCTAATTATCACTGTAAACCTGCATTATACTTTGAATTTTTTTTTTTAATTCAACATATGTATCTTAACTCTGTACTGAGCTAAATTGACCAGCTTCTCTAGCTCTACTACATATGTACTTTTGAAACCCATGAGAACAGCTTTAAATACAAACCAACTAAAGAATTAGAACAAAATTTTACCTGCAAGAACAGGTAGTTCTAGAAAACGTAACATGTCGTCCCACATTATGATTGTGATATGTGGATATTTTTCTTTGATGAACAAACAAACAGCCCTAACATGGGCAAAGAACAGCTGTTGTACAGTCCAGTTCTCCATTAACATCTTTCGTTTACATCTTTCACAAACTCCAAGGTGATACACCTGTAACAAATTCCATTAAATCTTTGTAACATACACCCAGACATGCCTTATAATCATCTTTGTTTCACCTCCGCAACCCATGCCAGTTTGGTTAGGGTAGGTAAGTCAATAAAATATATCTTTCATAGTCTCAAGGACAAAATGGTTATTACTTGAATAATATACAGAAAGAAGGTAGCCTAAATGAGCGTAGGCCTAGTGGTTAAGGTGTCTGCCTCTCAACCCAGGGATCATGGGGTCATGCCTTAATTGGATCAAAACCATGTTTCTTCATATGACAGTACTCAGGTTGGTTCCAGGAAACGGACTCGAAAGTGATTGATATAAGTTGCAAGAACTTCTTTTGCAATCCAACTTACACTAAAAAGAAGGTACAAACTAGGGGCTTGAAATTATTATACATGTACTAAAAAAATTGATATAAATGGGAGAAGAAAAATTTATCTTCAATCAGTATTGTTTCTTACCTCGTCACCTCCGATATGAAAATATTGTATGGCAGGGTGGGCAGTCATCACCTGATCTATAATCATACTTATAACAGTCAGAGAATCTGAAATATATGCATTTGTTTAATAAATAAGTTTAGAAACTGTAAACATGCATTTTTAAATTCACTGTCTGATTGCCCACAATAGATGCAAATTAAACAATAATTGCTTGTTTAGGGTTTTAAGTTACACAAATATTGTGAAGGTCATACTGGGACTTTTTAGCTTTACTGGTGCAGAAACTCCAGGGTGCCTCTCTGAGCATAATCTCCGGCATGAGCCACTGGCACCTTGGTACAAGTAAAATCATGGACATTCAATTAGATAGCTTCCTCATTTGAAAGAATTCAAAGTGCCTAATGGCTGGATTTAAAACTAAAGCAGTGAGGGGCAAGTGGTTTGATGTCAAAGACCATAACATCTCTGCCATGGAAGCTTCTGTAATCTTAATCATATTCTATCCAACAAAGGCTTGAAACTGTTATTTATTATTTTAACAAAGAAATAGCTTTATAAAACCTGATTATTATTCAATTTCAGTTCTTCTTTTATGCTAAAAATAAAACGAACCAATTACACCCCCTTTGAAACAAAGAGTATAAAGCAAAACTATGAATTTGAAATGATTCATATTTTAAAACAATAAAATTTTACAAATTATTTCAGAGAAGAGTACAGAAAACATGTTGATATTACAGACCTGCATTAGATGGGCACAGAGCACTAGGGTATCCTTCTAACTCACACAAACTTTTAAACTTTTCATGCTTCAACACAAACTAGAAAACAATAAAATAGTAACATTGCCTTAAATGTGAAAATAAAAATATTTCAGAAACATTACATTGAAGACTTGTATCAACAAATTTCATCTGAATTACCTGTATATTCTATGTATACAAGACTACCATAGTTTTACCACACAAGTTGGGAAATTATAACATTTAGACACCGCATATATTTTTTTTCTCTGTATCTTTATGCCACCCCTTTTAAATTGGAACAATTAATTAAGAATCATTATGTAATAAAGAATATCAAAATGATTTCATTTTCTCATGATATTTTTCAAATATTTCTCTATACACATACATGTACAGCATGATGTATACAGGAAAATGTCCCCCTGGCACCCTATAACTGATTAGTTTTTTTAACAAAAAAACTGAAATTATTTGAACAATTTTGGCAGATGTTTACCAAAAGGATCATTTTGGTGTAATAAAAAATAAGTAAAAAGATAAAAAATATGCAATAATAATTATAAGAAATAACCTTGAATCAATAACAGTCCAGAATTATTGATAAAATGCATTTTTCAGATAAACAGTTTGTCCATGGTGTTCCCAAAACTCCCATAATATTTTGTTCTATCTTGCAAATAGATAGTACATGTGTACAATATAAATATTGGCTTCTGAAGACATAAATAAAAACATGTTATCCTATTTCCGAACTTTAGAAGGAGATGACAGGAAAACTATTGAAGTTATAAGAACTATTAGATCACTATCAAAAATCATTTACAAAGAAGTGTTTATGTCATGTATGTGCTTGACTATAAAACTGAATAAAGAAGACGAAGACTCAAACCACATACCTCAAAATGTCCGAATGTCTGAATAAGAGGTATAACAGTAAGACTATTGTCTTCAGCAAGCTGAAGTAACTCTGCTATATTGTCTTTACTGGAAAATAAATCCACGTTTAAATCATTATGTTTATCATATCAATTTTCAAAAGAAAAATTTGTTAACATTATAAAGTCAAAAACAAAATTTCAAGTCACACCAACAAAGTAGAGGTCATGTGTTACTTTCCAGCTTTACTAGTGGAGGCAGACCTCAGGTGCCTCTCAGTGTGTTATTTCTGGCATGTGTGGGCAACTGAGTAGAACCAACTAATCACACAAGAGCAAGCTTAACCTGGCTTGTATCTGTACAAATCCTATCAGATACTTACTTTACTTAAAAACTCACTTATAAAAACAATTTTCAGGCTTAAAATGGTCAGATTTTAGTCACATGATTGGTAAGATTTAAGGTACATAATTGGTCAGATTTCAGTAAGATTTCAGATACATGATTGGTCAGATTTCAGTTACATGATTGGCCAGATTTCAGGTATATGATCGGTCAGAAACCGGCACAGAAACTGAGAATGTGCACTGACCAATAAAAATCATGATATCCGAGACAGTTCTCTGATTAAAACATTTTATAACCTTGAGACAGTTCTTTACAAACTATTGTCAACTGAGAATCCTTCACCTTACCTATAAGCATATCTCTGAGATAATTCCTCTAACTGACCAACATATGGGAACATATCTTCATATTCTAACAACAACCCTGTAGCTCCATTCTTCTTAAGAATTGGAAACAACTGAAACCAAATATTTGTTTAATAAAAGTTGTTTTGAATGACAGGATAATAAATGAAATGAAAAAAAAGGTTTCTTTGCTGTCTGATATACTTGTTGTCACCTTAGTGCAATAACTATTTAACTTCTATTTAGTTTAGAAGCACTTAACCCTTTACTGCAATATAGTGACGATGTATGCTCAGTCTTATATACAAATTATCAAGGTCCTCATCAACAGGCAGGTGCATTGATCTAATGGTAACACTGTTTGACTACAAACCCAGTTGTCATATGTCTTATATGCCATCCCCCATCCCACTTCGAATAGGAAAACTAGATAAAATGGCCCTTAGATCTCTGTTGATTAGTTATTTTCAAAAATGTATAAATATTATTTGAATAAAGTATGAGATAAACACCTGATTACATAGAAGATATTTGAGCCGCGTCATGACAAAACCAACATAATGGGTTTGCGACCAGCATGGATCCAGACCAGCCTGCGCATCCGCGCAGTCTGATCAGGATCCATGCTGTTCGCTATCAGTTTCTCTACTTGTTATAGGGTATGTAAGCGAACAGCATGGATCCTGATCAGACTGCGCGGATGCGCAGGCTGGTCTGGATCCATGCTGGTCGCAAACCCATTATGTTGGTTTTGTCGTGACACAGCTCATTTGTTTAGTTCAGTGAAAGATCTGAATATATTTCACCGAGTGAGCACCAAAAGGTATATTTCTTGAATGGCAAAGCCACAAGTTAGATATGAACTTTGGGTGTTCATGAGGTGAAATATATTTCAATCTTACACTAAACTAAACAAATTTTCTATTTATTATATGCAAAGAAAGGCATTTTAACCCAAAACAAAATGAAAAGCGCGCCAAATAATAATACAACATGACATCATTTACGACGTCATGTCATGAAGTTGGTTTCCAGTACTGTGCATGCTGGTATTTTCAACAAGAGGGCCATGATGGCCCTGAGGTCGCTCACCTGTATATAGGGCCCCGGAGCGGGCCAGTTTAAACCCCAGGGCTTTTATTTGAACAAACTTGGAAGACACTCATTAGAAGATGTTTCACAATGTTAAGTTTTTATTTCACAATGTTAAGTTTTTACTACTCTCATATAATGAAAAACAATGATCTCTCCTCCCCCCTCCCCTGGCAGGGCCAATTTTCACCCCGAGGGCTTTTATTTGAACAAACTTGGTAGACATCCATAAGGAGATATTTCATGCTAATCATCTATGCTCTAGCTCATTGGGTTTTTTAAAAGGAGATTTTTAAGTTTTTACTATACACATATAGTTAAAAACAATGACACCCCTGGGGCGGGGCCAGTTTTGACCCCAGGGCTTTTATTCGAACAACCTTTGTAGACACTTACTAGAAGATGTTTTATGCTTAATATCTAAACTCTATCTATTTGGTTTTTTCAAAGAAGATTTTTTAAAATTTTTACTATATGCAAATAGGGAAAATCAATGACCCCCCCAGGGCGGGGCCAATTTGACCCCAGGGTTTTATTTGAACAAACTTTGTAGACACTCACTAGAAGATGTTTCATGCCTCATATCTAAACTCTAGCTATTTGGGTTTTTTCAAAGAAGCTTTTTTAAGTTTTGCTATACACATATAAGGAAAATCAATGACCCCTGGGGCGGGGCTAATTTTGACCCCAGGGCTTTAATTTGAACAAACTGGGTAGACACCCATTAGAACATGTTTCATGCTAAATATCTTAGCTCTGGCTCTTTGAGTTCTTTACAAGAAGATTTTTTCATTTTTTACTATATGCATATAGGGAAAATCAATGACCCCCTGGAGCGGGGCCAATTTTGACCCCAGGGCTTTTATCTGAACAAACTTGGTAGACACTCATTAGAAGATGTTTCATGCCAAATATCTAAGCTCTAGCTCTTAGGATTTTTTAAAAGAAGATATTTAAAGTTTTTTCTTTCGGTTGCCATGGCAACCAATTAAATTCTTTGAACAATTTTTAAAGGTGACCACCAAAGGAACATTCCTGTGAAGTTTGGATGAAATTGGCTTAGTGGTTTATGAGGAGATGTCATTTAAAGTAAAAGTTTATGGACGGACGACGGACGGACGCCTGACGAAAAGCGATCACAAAAGCTCACCCTGTCACTTTGTGACAGGTGAGCTAATAAAACAACGTAACAGGCTTAAATTCAAAACAGTGCAAAAAATATCAAATTGGTAATTTCACTGTTTCTACAGTGAGAATATCAATTTTATATTTCACTGATATATTTCTATAAACCACCGAAAAGCATGTAATAATTAATTCTACACTCAGTTTCAAAGGAAAGTGTGGACTTGGTTACATGAAAACTGTGTTTTCTTAATTAAGCAAATATTGGCATTTTTGTATCAAAATGCAGGCTTGAAGATTTTCGTTAACTGATGAGATGGACGCAACAGATAATAAATAACTGTCCCACAATTAGACAACAAAAAAACATTAAACTTAAAGTAACAATCTGCAACTTTTATTTTCACCCTTCAGCTTTTTACACGAAGCCACAATTCAGACAATTATCAAATGAATACAAAGTAAGCCATTTTCTGGTCAATATTATTTCTGCAAATTTTGAAACCAAATTTTGCCAAAATATTGCTCAAGTACATTGTAAGTAACAGAATCTCCATGTAACCAAGTGCACACTTTCTTTTATAACTTACCACCTGCAGATATTCTATCCTAGGAGCAGCTCCTTTTAAATCTAAATGCACCAACCTAAAATGTACATATAATATTGTTGAATCTAGTATAAGAGTATAGTAAAACATCTTATCATTCACTACACTACAACTTCTCCTATAAATACAAAAGAAAACTTTTGTTGTACATGTATAAAAAAAATAATTAAAGATTATACTTTGCTCAAATTTGATATTAGAAAATATTGACAACTGCCACACAGTCTCTTTGTAAATATAAAAATAAAAATGTTTTGACTTCACACAAAGTAGATATTTATAGGTCGTCACAATATGAATATATATTGTCATTAAAAAACTGGCAGTTTTTACTTGGCCTACAATAGGGAATGCAGCTTCTAATACATAGTTTATTCATTCTTTCTTTTAAATTAGACATAAATGTATTAGGTAAGAATGTCATTGATTTCAATAAATTATTTTACGCAAGGATGAGCATAGCATAGTTTTAAGTATTATTATTTGCTATATTACATAAAATGACAGTTTAATATTAAAAAGTAATTAGATGTCCTAAATTTTGAAAATCTCTTCCCGCAAAAACTTTTTCAAAAGTTTTTATTTATTCATTTTAATGTTGCATCTATTTGTAAATACACATACATACAAAAGTAAGACAATAACTAAGCTAGTTAGATGCTATTAAGAATGCTTTAAACAAATCTAATCAGTTGCCATGCAATTCTGCCTTTGAGCAGTTTAAAATTTCAAATGTTAACACCTGTATGTATTTCATAATAAATTTTCAATTTCTTACTTATGGGCATTAGTTAGAGCCATTCTTCTTCTGACCTGAAATTATAAAATGAAATTATTATTGAAAATTATAACTAATGATGTAAAGTTGGGTTTTTTTCAGACCATGCATTAATGTCAAATCAATATTTCTAGATCATACTTTTATTTGGATATTATCATAAACATCTTTTTTTTGGACCACACATTTTCCATAGGTGTTTTCTCTACCTATTTTTGCTTTAAATTGAATGAATAATGTTTTATAAAAATAACTATTAAATGACATTAATAAATCCAACAGTCTGCTTAATGTCATGTGAATACCTTTTAAATTCACCCATGTTCAATTCAAACTCAATAAATTTTGTTCAACAGTAAGACTTAACCCATTACTTCATGAGCATTTTGTGAAAAATGGCTGTTTTCATTGAAAAGTCTCCTGTTACAAGTTCAAATTGCTATAAAACTATAAAAACTGCGCAATACTAATCAAACTTGGCACAAATGTTGACTGGACCATTGCCTTTGCAACAACATGCTCAGGCTTAAATTTTCTGTTACCATGGCAACGAGGGGACATCTCAAAATTGCCAAAAATCACTATTTTGCGTTGATTTTTTCCATCAAAATTGATTTCAAAGTGCTGCAACTTCTCAATGGATTGAGATAGAGTCAAATGCTTTTCAGCGTTGATTACATGTTACCTTATGATTGTTCTGGGGTCATTTTTAGCCTCTCACAAGTCCAAAATTTTCATGGCTATAAGGGGGACTGCCGCCCCCCTTCAAACTCCCCAAACAGAAGGGGGCAAATCCCCCTTTGGGCAACCCCCTGATGTATCTTTTGGTTGGGGGCCATGCCGAAAAAGTGGTCACTTTTTTTAACAACATTTCTCAAACAAAAACAAGTGTTGGGGGCCTAAATAAGGCATTTTTTCAACATTTGAGACAACAAAAAAAGGGGGGGTGAAAAAGGTGTTACAAGGCGTGTATATCGCGTAATGGGTTAAATAGCCTACATATGACATTTAACTTCTGATGATATTGATCTTAAAAGATATAAAACCAAGATACAGAAATATTTGTAAATAAATTTGACATTAAAATCATGGTCTGCCTCATCTCCACAGAGACACATAACACAGTCTGCCCTTTCGCCGTCTATGCTCTGTCTTGGTCAAGTCTGCCCTGTCTGACAGTCCACCCATAATAATAATAATAAATCCCACCCTTTGAAGAACCCCTTGATGCTAAGGCTGCTGTTGCTTAGATTCATTGAGGGTCATCACTCTGGGTAACAATGAGATATTTGGCAATGTTTACAACTTTAAGATGCTTCCCTTGCCTTGGAGACTGGAAATAGTATGGATCGAGTTTCACAACAGTTATACTCTGCATGATGCACAAACCTTAAGTCTTGGTGGATTCCTTTAACAATTTAGGGCTGTAAGATCCAGATTCTTGGAGTTTGGTAGCATTTTCATCATTATAAAAGTGTTTATAAAGTATTATGTTATCAGTAAAAAGTTGGTTCGGGATGACTGACAAACAAATGGTTATGACAAGACCTTAAAAGGGGTGGCAAAATCAATTGTCCATATTGCCCACTGGGTGCCCCAAGTGGAAATTTTCAAGAATGTATTATATAAATATGGTACGGACAAGTAAAGAAATGCTTAAGATAAATTTAACAGCAAGTTATTAAAGTAAGTCAAAATCAGATTTTGTTGGTGCTGCATGATAATCAGATAATAACACTTGGTCAAAACAATGTCAATTCCTTAAACTATTATATACACAGTTTGATAGCTTAAATATGAAGACATCCACTGATATCTTTTTCATTTATTTACGTAGCATGACGTTTACCCTCCTTTTTGAACATTTAACTGAAATCAATTAAACATGGTTTAAAATTATTAGCCCTTGTCAATATATAAAACCTGTTTGATCAATAAACACAATAAATAAACAACGGTTATAAAAAGATAAACATTTGGTCTAAATGCAAAATGTTTGAAGTCCTATATATCTTTAGTGTGTTATATACAAGTTTTACTCCTGAAAAATGCATAGGGGTCTAAACCAGGAGATTGCCATCCTGGATTAGACCCCGGGGTCTTAACCAGGAGTATATATAAGGTTCATTCCGTTTTCTTTAGTGTATTATATACAAGTTTTACTCCTGAAAAATACATAGGGGTCATACAGGAGATTGACACATTTCTACTTGCACTGAAACACTCCTAAATGTTGCAACGAGTATCTATTATTCATTATTCAGTTGTTATAAAGTTATGGACATATGCTCGATGCTCTTGACTGAATGTCATCAATTCAACGAATGATTAAGGAAGAAATAGGCATGCATTCGATTTTACCCACCTTTTCTTCAAAACTGGTGTGTAAGAGAAACGATATACAAAGATTCAGAAAAATGACAGTTGCTAATTAACAAAGAATTTGCCTCCGAAACTTCATTGAAATATTTCACGGACAGGTTTATTTACAAACATTATGACTTCCGGTTACTTTTCTAATCTTCGTTGGTGAAGAGCCTACAGATTTTGACAGATGTAAACACAGTCAGGGCGATAATTATTCTCAAGATTTTGATTAGTTTTATACAGAAACAGTAGGTAGAACAATGTCATACATATTACAAAATTATTGATCTTTGTACTTGACCAAATTTTCATAGCCAAAACTCGTTCCTCGCTCCATTATTATGTTTTATTCATTGACCTGGATCAGACGCAGAAAGTGCTATTTTTAGACTGTAAATATTATGATTATGTCATAAACAATAGAATTGTATGTTTTAGGTATTTGATGGCAGTAACGATTAATATTATTGTCATGTTTTTACTGAAACATGTTTCTTTTCATAATTTAAATAAGACTTTTGGCTGCCAATGTACAGTCGTCATCTGATAATAGCAGATGTTGCATGAAGCTGAACCATGGCAATGAGTAGGCCCTAAATATGAATACAGAATTCATAAGCCTAACACATACCAAACATATCTGATTTGTTATTTTTTTCCATGCATATTTTTGATTATTGAAAAAAAAATCGCGTTCAACTCAATTTTTTGCAAACCTTATTTCAGAATCCCAAAATTGCATCCATGGGCATTCAGAAAATAAAACTGTAATCAATATATTTTAGGATATGGTCTGATGTCATAAAACTTTGTCATGAACAATGATGTGCTACGTAAAAATGACATTATGTCAAACTATAAGATTATTTTATTTAGTGTTGTCCCGATTGTCTCTGAAAATCGATAACTAATCAGACCACCCCAAAATCGGCAACAATCGATAGTGACATTTTTAAAAAATCGATTATTTTAGTGTCCTACCACCACTGAATTGCCAAGACAAACTAGTAGAAAAGTATGTGCACATTTACAAATGTAAATAATAATTAAATTCATCTAATTTTCAAAACCTATTTAACATGGGTTAATACTAGTTATAAATTATAGTGTGTAATAACGTAACATTATAAACTTATATCTCTACTGTTGTTAAATTTTAGAATTTGCAATAAACAAAGAAAGAAGTTCTGACACCAAAAAGAGGGAGATTTCTTTAATTTGTGAACATTTTAGAATTTGCAATAAACAAAGAAGGAAGTTCTGACACCAAAAAGAGGGAGATTTCTTTATTTTGTGAACATGCCCCTTTATTTTGTGACAAAATATGTAAGCCAATTCAGAGTTAAGCTTCTATTTAAATTAAGACATTGGCATTTATTCTAAAGACATAGGCAAATTTTAGTAATTAATCCATTACCAGATATACACGCCTTTCTACGCCTTTTTCACCCCCCCCCCCAATTTGATGTCTCAAATGGTGAAAAATGCCTTATTTAAGCCCCCAACACACCTTTTTGTATGAGAAATGTTGTTAAAAAAGTGATCCCCTATTAAAAAGATAGGGGTGCTAGAGGAAGGATGTGCAAGAAGATTTTGGACTTGTGAGAGGCTAAAAATGATCTCAGGTCAATCATGAGGTAACAATAATGTAACCAACACTGAAAAACCTTTGACTCTATTTCAATCCATTGAGAAGTTACAGCACTTTGACATCAATTTTGATGGAACAAATTAATGCAAAATAGTGATTTTTGGCAATTTTGAGATGTCCCCTTGTTGCCATGGTAACAGGTAAGACTGAGCATGCCGTTACAAAGGCAATGGTCCTGCTAACATTTGTGCCTGAAGCTTGATAAGTTACTGCCAAGTTTGATTAGTATTGAAGCATTTTTTTATAGTTTCATAGCAATTTGAACTTGTAACAGGAGACTTTTCAATGAAATCAGCCATTTTTCACAAAATGCTCATGGGGTAATGGATAAAATACTCAATAATTATTTTTCTGTTAAAGGAATGATATTTAAAGTTGTTATTGGTTTCAGGTAGTCATTGCAAATTATTGGATTTATCGATTTTGAGATAAAAATAATAAAAATCCATTTAAATGGTATAATTAACTTCTCATTGCAACAACCAAAATATATCACAAAAATATACTCAGTATATACAAAGTCAATTAGATTTATGAAAGTATGTGAACATTATATGACTGTTGTGCTGAGAAGTTTTGTTTTATTTAAGGATAATGTTTAAATTGATACAAAAAATCTTAAACTTCTAGCCAATAACCTTGTAACTTCCTTATTTACCTATCCATGTATTAGCCAGTCAATTGATAGGTCATTCACAAGTTTAAAACCTCATATAATTTATATATCCTGGTTGAAATATTGTCATTGTTAATCACAATTTCCTAAAGTTACTTCATCATTTCAATATATTGAATTCATAGCCAGTGATTATCACACATTGCTAACAGTTCAACCTTATAATGATATTAGAACTGCTGGTTAAGTTTCATTTTGAATATATTAATATTTTGAAAATTATGCGAACCTGTATAATAACCATAGCGATAAACAGTCTCATACATTGTAATTACATGTATAATGATAGGGTCAAAAGGTTATTTATGGCCACACTGACATTGTATGTATTACAGGTATTATATATACATATGTGGTATTTATACAGGTATTAATACATGTATGTATAAATCATAGCTGATATGAAGACACTGAAGCAATGTGGTAAATAGAAATTAACTGCGCCATGACAAAAGCAACATAGTGCGTTTGCGACCAGCATGGATCCAGACCAGCCTGTGCATCCGCCCAGTCTGATCAGGATTCATGTTGTTCGCTATAAGTTCCTCTACTTGCAATAGGGTAGAAAGCGACCAGCGTGGATCCTGATCAGACTGCACGGATCCATGCTGGTTGCAAACGCACTGTGTTGGTTTTGTCATGGCACGGCTCATAATTAACAGCACCAAGTTTCATTCTAGGTAGTCATGGTGTATCTTACAATAAAAGAGGAAAGTGATGAAAGATTGCACTTTACCAGACAGCCTTCCTTGAATTCATGGGCAATTCTTGTTGGTAAGTAGAATGAGTATTATAACAAAATGTGTTATTTATTATTTGTACTTTCTCAATGAAAGTTCACTTAAAAATATATGCCTCAAACCAATTAAGTTTAAATGATATTTGTAAAATTTCTTTAAACTCACAGTATACATATAAATATAAAAGGAAATAAGGAAATAAACTTTCAACTAAATTATATCATTTTTTTTTCCCCTAAAAAAATATATGATTTTGTTCATTTACTTTTATTTACAAACATTATGTAGAAGCTATTTGTTCCCAATGATTAAGATGTAAGAATTTATTTATCAGTCTTTTGTTTAGTGGTTATCTGTATCATGATAAAAATGCCTGATGTACATAAATTTGAATGCCAGCACTCACCACCTGACAGTCACCAGTTTGCACATCTGAGCCTAAATGTGCTTTCCAAAAATCATAACAACATCATAACAACCTAAGCTTGATCTAGAAGTATACATGTTTATAAATATTATTTTATTCTATTTATCATTATTGTTGTTTTTCAGGCTTCAGTTCTGTAGGTCTTGGTATTGCCTACTATGGAAATGGTATGTTGTTATTTTTTTAAGCAGAATTGTGCAATTACTATTCACTATTGAATGATTTAATGTGAACTTTGCATTTATTCAGATTAATATAAATTTTGTAAAATTTTGAGAAAAACAAGCAGTTTCTTAAGTACATGTATTAAGAATAACAATGTAGTAGGCCTAACTGTTTGTATTTCATTCTTAATATGCGTATATATTTATATACCATACATGTATATTCAACTAAAATTACCTTACAGTATTTGAAATAATTTTTCAGATCCATTTTGGCTAAAGGCAATTTACTTGGTTCTTGGAAGCCTTATTGGAATATCTTGCATGGATGACTGGGAGGTATAGTGACTTTAATAGAAGAAACATACTTGTATATACATTCATGTACATGACTAATAATGTAAACCATGTACATATCTGCATGTACATAAACATATACATCATGTATATTTAGACTCAAGAATGTTTATATGTCCCCTTAAAAGATTAGAATCAAAATTCAAATTATGATATATTTTTTTGGATTACAGTTATGGAATTTGAAGACAAAAACTTTTATTTTGTGGATTTACCTATTTGTAATAAAACACTAGTTTATTAAATTGCCAATTAATTTAATTCTCAAAAACTTATAAACATCAAAGGTCTTGAAGGGCAATGTGGATATTGTAGACAAACTTCATTTAAACTCATTTAACTTTGATTTTGAAAACATTAGAACATTATACATATATTTAAAAAAAATAGCTTAAAGTGAATTGGTCTATAATATAAGGTCTGTAATGTTATAAATAGTTAAGTATCAGACTACGAAACCCGAAATAAATTTACATGTATTTATATATTGTTGTCAAGTGTGAAATACATTATCAGATATTACATATATTTATATATAGCAAAGCAAATTAAATGTTCTAAAACAAAGTATTATTATTCACCATACAAATGTTCATACTTAATCACTTCAAGCTTGATCAACATTTTTTTTCAAGCAATATGTAATAAGTATATCCAAATGATGCATTGCTATTGTGTTCTGTCAATATTTGAAATACTTATATATACATAAAAACTGTAAAAAATGTGCCCATTTTATATCAATCGACATTAAATTGAGTGTCACAGGATGAGAAAAATGTGCAGTCTGACCTGGACTTGAACCCGGGATCCTCAGAATACTGTTCCACGGCTTTACCGACTGAGCTATCCGGCTGCTTACACATCTTCTCCCCTTAATAGTGAACAGTTCTGAACTGTGGCATGAGTATTTCTTTTTCCTTATTTTTTTATTCAGATATACTATTAAAAGGTCAGAATATAGGGAATGATAGGTTTTAGTTTAATTATACTACTTTCAAAATAGTGTTTTCAAGAAGTTCTCTTACTTTTTGCACTCATCCATTTTATAATGATTGTATATTGTTTTGTTTTTGTTTTTTTGCAGGAATGTGATTTCAATAAGTCAGAAGGAGAGATAAAGCTGAAGAAAATAAGTGCCTGGGACTTGATCTTCCTTAGGAGTGAAGATGTTGGTATGTGTAACAGGGAAATAACCCTTTCAGAGCTTTCAATGACATTGACATGCCTGTGCCACCATTTTATAGCTTTACCAGCCTGTATATACATGAAGTTGAGTTTTATAGGCAGTTGTTTAAAAAAGTCTGATGTACCCTCATGAAATGTAAACTACATGCAAAGCTATGAAATCTGTCTTGTCTCTATACAGTATTCTGTTAAATATAGATATTTTTAATATGAAACTTGAGGTTTTTTTTACACAACGTCATCAGGGTGAAAAAACTACAGTTATTCAGCCTAAAAATTATGTACAGAAAATGTTCAGATATGTAATAGATATACCATTGCTGCGTTGACGATTTCTGGGTTTGCGTAAATTATACCATAATCACGTGACCTTTCTTATGCCTTAACCTCACGAGACGAAGTCGAGTGAGGTTAAGGCATAAGAAAGGTCACGTGATTATGGTATAATTTACGCAAACCCAGAAATCGTCAACGCACCAATGGTGTGTCTGTTTTAACCTATAGCTCCGCCCAGAAACACTTACTCCTTCGATCTTCAAAACTGAAAATTATACCATAGTCTGGGTATGGTATAATTTACGGTTATTGGAAATTATACTTGGAAGAATTTTACATAAGAAGCGCTGAAGAGCTATAGGTTAAATGTCTTTTAAACTTAAGCTTGTTTTTGGTAACTTATTCTTAGTAACCCATACGGCCAGTGCAAATCAAGATAAGCTGGCACATTCATGCTGTCTGATCTTGGTTTGCACTGTTCCCTTTTTCAGTCAGTACATATTTTGGAATTTTCTCTGAAAAAAATGAATGGTTTTGTCAAGATTTAATATTGAACAATACATTGTAAGATATTTAGTTTGATAAGAGTTCTTATGTGTAAGAGGATACATTTTAAGTTACAAGTTCTTGGTGAGCATGTAGCTTTTTATTCCTGATTCCATCTTTGACTGCAGATAATTTAGCTTTTGATTGGTTAATTACTACTACTTTAGATTTTAAATTGACCAATGGAAGAGTTTCTTTTAAGATTGCATCTAATTGGTCTATTCTGAAAACAATTTATGAATATGACCAATTGTAGTGTACTTCTTCAGTTGTTTTCATGAACTTCCAAATTTATGTGAAGTCAGATTGAGTATCTGGTCAAGTGGTAGTAAAACTGTCTGAAAACAATTTCAATTTGAATTCTTCCATTGCTTCTCCAAGTAAATCAGTCTTTCTTTTTTTATCAAAATCAACAAAAAATAGTTCTTCTTAAAATGAAAATTGAATTTTATATATGTTTTAGTTGTAGCCCAGCTGTCTGAGGTAACTAATGTAAATGTAAAGGAAGAAAAAGTTAACTACTTTGGTACCACATATCAAGTTGTGTTGAAGTTTTCAACAGGGATGTCTTTCGGTATAACAGAATCTTTTACTTTCGGATCTTCCAAGTAAGTGGTATATTATGAAGTTGCTATTTGTTTATATTATTCTAGATAACCATCCATGAATGTTGGTTATTCACATCTAAGCCTTATCTTGCTGGAACATAAAGTGGATAGCATTTGCCACCAGCTAAGACCCAGGCCAGCCTGCACATCCGTGCAGTCTGACCAGGCTCTATACTGTTGGATGACCATTTTCAAATTTTCATCTTAATATCCCTAAGATAGGCAATGGACAGATCCAAAATTGAACCTCGATTAGTCCATTTAAGAAATTCAAAAGGTTAAAAGTTAAAATAGACATTAATGTTATTATTTTACAATCCAATTATAACTTTGTTATGTTAATTACCTCTATAGAACTAGGCCAATATGTGCCTCCATACTGTCTGATCTCACTTAATATTGCTGATCCAGTTTGAGCATTTGTTATAGAAACCCCATACATAGGAACTATGTTTTCAAATTTAAAGATGGGTAAGTTCTATACACAGAATTAGTGGGGTTAGGTTTAAAGAAAGAATATGATGATTTGTGTGGAACTTATTATTGTATCATTTTCTACAAGTTGAAAAAGATTTTTTTTAAAGTACATGCCTGTAATGTAAATGGACTATGTTAACAAACAACTGTTAGATAAAGTAACAGTCTTTCTTTCATCATAATCTTTTTCTTTTATATATAAACATAACAGCGCATTGTAGGTAATGGGGTATTTGCTCAATTGTTTCACCTACAACTTAATTTTTACAATGTTATACATAAAAAAATGCCACAAAGTTCTGGTGTTAAATTTTGCTATAGATAATTGGGTCAAAAGCTTAAGAATTAAAATTATATGTTGGTGTTTCTTGGTTTCCAATTCATGTGCCTCCTGAAACTTTAATTTATAGGCTAAAATTGAATCTGTCTTGTACTGGAAAAATAATGGGCCCTACATTTTTGAATGAAAAAAGTTGTTGATGTTAAATCATTGTATACACTTTTTAATTTCATGGTCAGAATACAAATGCACATGTTTATCATATCCTAGTGTATGTGTTGATTAGGGAAGGTTAGTGGTTTTACCCAGGAGCCTAATTATGCTATAATAAACACCACTGAGATGTTCCTGTACCAGTAAAGCTGCAAAGTTGGCATATGATTGTGTCACAGTGTTTAAGTATCTTAAAACCCAAACTACTAACCAGAAAATGTATCAGTATTTTGTGAACTATCAAAACTTTGAAGATGAATAGTGTTCTCAATAAATCCACAAATTGATACAGTGTGTTTATTTATTCTTTTTTAAATTTCATTGAATATAGCTTATATTGTAGAAACTACATTTTGTCAGGTTAAAAAATGTTTACAATATATTTCTAACAGAGAACACTATGCCGTTGCGGAGAAGATCCGAAACTTTCTAAATATAGAAGAAGATGCTGCCGACAATGATTTCTTAGATTCAGCATCATCATCATCAATGGAGGAAGAGGACACAGCAGACGAAACGGCCGACGATTTCGAGCATATAGACCAATCAGATCTCATCGATGAAACAGACAAATCAAGTATGCAACAGGCAGACGATAAAAAATGTGATGATCAATCACCAGATGATGTTCCTGTAGAAACCGAATAACTGTACAATGGTTGTGTATAGATAGTTTAAGTTTTGACCATTTGTCTGACTTTTGTTCTTTACATTGACTATTTATAGATGATATTCTATTTTTAACTTATCTTTTGATGCATGTACAGTGAAATTCTGACGTCTGCTGTACAGTCAGACTTTACTGTGCTTGTATTTAAAGATAGGGTTAAAACGGATAATAAAATGTACTGTTGGTGGAAGAAAGTGAGTAAAACAATATATTTCAAAGTGGTAAAAAAATTACGTGCAAACCGAGAAGTGAACAAAATGCAGTTTTTTATTGTAGTTTCTACAATAAAAAACTGCATTTTGTTAAGTTTTTTTGGAAACAATTAATAAATTACTATTTCATAAAGGAGTTTGCTGTTCATTTTCTAAATCACATATTAAATTATCAATTTTCTTTTTACTATAATATACAAATCAACAAAGGAATTGATTTGTAGGTAAATAGTAAAATGTGTAAAAAGATGATTGATATGTGATTTATAAAGATATACAGCAACCTCCTTGATAAAGAGCTGTTTAACTCCTTGAAATGGTGGAGGTTAATTAAATGAAGTCTGTGAAATACTAAGATAGTTTTTTATTGAACAGCTATTTTTACAAGATCCTGATAATGTGGTATTTATCTGAATACTTGGCAGAGTATTGTCTATGCAGATTAAACATTCAAAAGTTAACAACTAACGACAGTGTTGACGATTTACTTCCAAGTATGTTAGTTACAATTTATTTTAACATTCATTACACTGGCAGGCATTTGGTCATTAATTAAAGTGTCTATAAACAATTCATTTACATGAATATTGCACACATGTATCTTTTCAATGCATTTTTTCGTCTATAGGTAGATCAGCCATAAAGCTTTCAGGTTTCATACTTAAAATGTTAATTCTTGGTGTATTAAATTATATGAATGTACTGGTATTGTAAGTGCTTGTTTTCTTGAAGGGAATATTTTTTATTATATTTGCACAAAGTAATTTCCTTTTTTTAAAAATTTACAGTTTTATTATTATTAAGTGTACAAGTTAAAAAGGTTTCTCAATATAAATGACAATATTATAATCTACATAAATGTATTCATTCTTTACTGTATGTGTCAGCCATTTTTAGATTGTTAAATCTTTGTTGGCTGACAGGTGGTGCCCCCATTATGCTAGGATGCCCTTGATGTATACAATTTCTTAAGCAGTGAACTCATGCCTTAACAAACATTGACTGGAATAATTTTGTAACCTATATAGAGTATATTCACAGTTAATGAAATAATACTGCAATATAGTTGCTAGAGGTTGAAAAAACAGGTTCTTTAATTATAAGGGTCTAGAACTAAGATCCCTTCATTGAGATTTCAGATAAAGTTTTAAAAAGCACATTTCTGTTCATATCATTTTTGGTAGGGAACAATAACTTTTTTTAGCACAAATCAATTTCTCAGGACTTATTCAAAATTGCTTTTAGGCTGTGAAACAAAATATAAAGACCATATCCTGGTGTTGTTTTTTTTTTTATTCACTTATTATTTTTTGAAACAAAATGTAGATTATTTTGAACTTTATGTTTTTAATGGCAAGTTTAATGCTTTCATATTACCATTCATTATCATGTGTGTTGGGGAAAGAATAGATGATTTTATGTGAGGAATATGAGCAATAATGTTGGTGAATAATTTATATTACCTCTTATATTGTTAATGGGATTTTTGAATTTGAACAAAGGAAGATATGTGCTATGTTGTTACTTTGTTGTTAGTGTTATGCTGTTATTTTTCTCTCTTTTAAACAAATGATTTATTATTGATATCATACAGACCTTGATATTGGTCAACATTTTATAAGTGTTCATACAAAAAGGCAGTTGTGAAAATGATTAACTTTCAGTGTTGCACACTGCTAAATTAGCAAGGTGTTAGAATGGATGTAAAGGGCAATAACTCTGCTATGAGCTGTGTCAGAATGTTAGTTCTCTGCCATGAGTTATATTAAAATGCTGGCCCTCTGCCATGTGTTATATTTGAATGATGGCCCTCTGCCATGAGTTATATTAAAATGATGGCCCTCTGCCATTAGTTATATTAAAATGATGGCCCTCTTCCATTAGTTATATTAAAATGATGGCCCTCTGCCATGAGTTATATTAAAATGATGGCCCTCTGCCATTAGTTATATTAAAATTGATGGCCCTCTTCCATTAGTTATATTAAAATGGTGGCCCTCTGCCATGAGTTATATTTGAATGTTAGCAGTTGGCCATGAGTAAAATAAGAATGTTAGCCCTCTGTCATGAGTTATATCACAATGTTGGCCCTCTGCCATGAGTTGTATTAAAATGTTAGCCCTCTATCATGAGTTATATTAAAATGTTGGCCCTCTGTCATGAGTTATATTAAAATGTTGGCCCTCTGTCATGAGTTATATTAAAATGTTGGCCCTCTGTCATGAGTTATATTTGAATTTTGGCCATCTGCCATGAGTTATATCAGAATGTTGGCCATCTGCAATGAGTTATATCAGAAGGTTGGCCATCTGCCATGAGTTATATCAGAATGTTGGCCATCTGTCATGAGTTATATCAGAATGTTGGCCCTCTGCTATGAGTTGTGTCAGAATGTTGGCCATCTTAAAAAAAAAAGAGTTAAAAATGTACTCACTATAATGTTAAGGTCAGTTTAATCACTCTGTTACTATGACAATGATGTTATATTTGTTAATCTTTTATTGTTGTTGATTATTTTGTTGAATTTCCCTTTCTAGTAGTTTGTTATCCAGATTTTATTTAAACCTGTTTTTGTTGAAAAGAAGCAACACCATTATTTGCTTATTATACAATGTATAAATCTTTAGGACTATTGTTTGCAGCACTGCTTTTTTTCTAAATATATGTTAATTTGTTAATGAATTTTGCAATACACAGAATAGTGCTATTTTAAAAATGTATTTTTGTGTGAATTATTTAGTAATTTTAAGTATTTCTTCATTTTAATAGTGCTTTCATTAGTGCTTTTAGCAAAAGTTTTATTCACTGAGTGGTTTAAATCAACAGGTTATGTATTTTATAAATGTTTAAAAAAATCATAAAGATGGGTGAAATGTCCTGAATATTTGGATATTTTGTTTTTAGCTCCTCCCCCCCCCCCCCCATTTGTTATCTCCCTTGAATATTTGGATATTTTGTTTTTAGCCCCCCCCCCCCCCCTCCTGCATTTAGTCTTGTTAAGTTTTAATAATAAAAAGTCAAGGTCATTACAAAGATACTTCTTTTACAACATTCCCACTTCTTTCTTTGTTTCTAGTCTTTTGAACTGTACCATGTTCATTAGCCTTTTTCTAGTCTTTCTGAAAATAGCATTTCCCAAAAAATGTTCATGTCCAAAAAACAAAGTTGACATTTCATAATATACTTAATCACATAATCTGACTGAATTTTGTTAATTTAACTCTTACCCTGTTGGCGGTGATAGGCTCTAACCATGCAACCAGTGCAGACCAAGAAAAGCTGGCACATCCATGCATTTTAATTATGATCGGCACTTTTTGCTATTCAGTTAGTACTTATTATGAAATTTTGCCTGAAAATGGTAAATGGCTTCATCCAAACTTTAAGATGGATCATTCCATGTAAGATGTGTGTGGTGTGGATAGTGTTAAATAAAATGTTTGACTCTTTCCTGTACTTTTAGTTATTCATATATACATAGAATATAACATTATGCATTCAAGAATAGATGAACTTTTACACATCAAGGTCTATGGAAATACTTGCATCAGTAGTATGTGATATGCTCAATTTTGAAATCAATAAATGGCAAATTTGCATAATAAATTTTAAAAATAATCTGAATGCAATTCCATTGTTTAACTTACCTCCCTTGTTTATATTGATTTATCTAAGTGTTGGTAAATTATGTACCGGTATACAATATATAGTCTTTTTATATGTAAATATGTGTTATTCTTCATTAAAAACAAACAACAATCTTGTTTTGAAGACTTAAACTGCCAATATGAACTGTACTGTCTAGTATTACACAGTACCTTCATATACAATTACTGTTCCGATGGAAAAAAAAAAGGTCTAAAAAACAGGTCATGTTTCAATATTTCAAAAGTACATTAGCTTGTCATTAAATTGTCAACTAGAACATTTTATTCAGTGTTTAAGAATTAAAAAAAACATGTTCATTGTAATACATGTAATACCAGATCACAACCTGACATGTATTTGGTCATGATAATGATGATTCAGTCTCAGTTGTATAGAAATATCCTGAACATTTTATTCAATATTTTTAGAATAAATTCAAAGTTCATTGTAATACAAAGTCCCCATGTTACTAGAGATCACCACCGGACATGTGTTTGGTCATGACATGACTTGATTCAGTCTAGCGAACAGCATGGATCCTGATCAATCTGCGCGGATGCGCAGGCTGGTCTGGATCCATGCTGGTCGCAAACGCACTATGTTGGTTTTGTCGTGACGCGGCTCATTTCTAAGATGTTTCATATTCTTTATTTCTTGTTTCATATTACTGACCTTGAAATAATCAGAGTCATACAGCTGTCCTGTTAATTTAAGACTTCTTTATTATTAGTACAAGTACAATCTTATTAAATGGAAAATCAGACCTATGTAAGCATATTGTTTTCTCTTGATTGTTTTGTGAAGTTCAGTTAGTTATGTGATCCAATTTAGATAATCAAAACAATTACTTTGGTGCCCTGTGTTTTTTATTTTACTCAATGATCTTAATGAATACAGTTGAACATATATCTAAATATTGTCACCCTAGTGCAGTAATGGATTATTACCTTACATACATGAAGTATAAATAGAAGTTAACCTTTTACTGCATTAAGGTGACAATATAGACTAGTTTTATTATAAGGAGAGTGGTCTTTGTTGTCAAGTGGTATTTCCTAAAAAATGGCATATGTTTACAAGTGGTATTTTATGACAGGTGGTCTTTTTTTACAAAATTAATGGTATAATGTTAACAAGGGATGATTGTTGGTAAGTTGTATAGACATGTAGTTGCTTTCTTAAAACAGATGGTCTTTCATCAAAGGTGGTGATTAACACAGGTTTGACTTTACTTTTACATTTGCCGAAGTTCTTAAGTCATTGCCAAATTATATCATATATCATTCGCCCGGTGGATTTGAATTCTTTTAATATCAAATAATTATATATAAGCAATCTGTCATGCAAGTATATATTGAATGTGCTAGTTTTGTTAAGTTTGCATGTATTAGGGGTGGTTTTTTTTTTTTTGGTGTATTATCTAGGTTAGTCAGAGTTGTTCTATATATGTATATTTTGTGGTAGAAAAAAAGGTTTTGGTGTCGATGTAATCATAAACTATTATTACTAACACAGATATTTACATAAATAGCATATTTTTTGTGTACTAATTTTCTCATGCAATTATTGTGTACACAAACTGACATGTTGATATAATGGATCTTGGATGACTCTCAAATATTTCTGTTTTTCTTCTTGCCATATACTACCTAAGAAAAAGCCCTGCATTTTTCTTACTCTGTTTTAATAATAAGTCTAGATACCAATATATACCATATTTTACCTGTTAAAAAACTTGTTTTTCTTAATGTTTGATATGACCAGTTTCTAATTTCCTACATGTGATTTTTTTTTAAGTGTAAACTCTCATTGTTTTTTCCCCCATGTTTTTATATGACAAGGAACAGTAGTGCGTTTCAATTTTTATGTCAACTGAACATGCATTCTTTAATTTATATGCACTTGGAGATTGGAGTGTTATCAATGACCCATTTGTATAAAAATATCTGTTTGATACACCCATTTGTAAAATTTTTCTCCCAGCTCTAAGTGCTTTTATAGGGAAAAAACAAGTTTTTTTATGGATTTTAGCTCACCTGTCACAAAGTGACAGGGTGAGCTTTTGTGATTGTTTTTCGTTCGTCGTTCGTCCTTTGTTCGTAAACTTTTACTTTAAATGACATCTCCTGATAAACCACTAAGCCAATTTCATCCAAACTTCACAGGAATGTTCCTTTGGTGGTCACCTTTGAAAATTGTTCAAAGAATTTAATTCCATGCAGAACTCTGGTTGCCATGGCAACCAAAAGAAAAAACTTTAAATATCTTCTTCTAAAAAACGCAAAGAGCTAGAGCTTTGAAAATTTTACAAATGGGTGTATCAAACAGATGAAACATCTTCTAGTGAGTGTCTACCAAATTTGTTCAAATAAAAGCCCTGGGTTGAAAATTGGCCCCGCCCCAGGGTGTCATTGAGTTTCCCTATATGCATATAGTAAAAACTTAAAAATCTTCTTTTAAAGAACCCAAAGAGCTAGAGCTAAGATATTAAGCATGAAACATCTTCTAATGGGTGTCTACCATGTTTGTTCAAATAAGAGCCCTGGGTCAAAATTGGCCCGCCCCAGGGGGTCATTGATTTTCCCTATATGCATATAGTAAAAACTTAAGAATCTTCTTTTAAAGAACCCAAAGAGCTAGAGCTAAGATATTTGGCATGAAGCTTGTTCTAATGGATGTCTACCAAGTTTGTTCAAATAAGAGCCATGGGGTCAAAATTGGTCCCGCCCCGGGGGTCATTGATTTTTCTTTTATGTGTATAGCAAAAACTAAAAAAATCTTCTTTGAAAAAACTCAAATAGCTAGAGTTTAGATATTAAGCACGAAGCATCTTCTAGTGAGTGTCTACATAGTTTGTTCAAATAAAAGCCCTGGGGTCAAAATTGGTCCTGCCCCGGGGGTCATTGATTTTCCTTATATGTGTATAGCTAAAACTTAAATATCTTCTTTGAAAAAACCCGAATAGCTAGAGTTTAGATATTAAGCATGAAACATTTTCTAGTAAGTGTCTACAAAGATTGTTCAAATTAAAGCCCTTGGGTCAAAACTGGCCCTGCCCAAGGTGTGTCATTGTTTTTAACTATATACATATAGTAAAAACTTAAAAAATCTTTTTTTAAAAATCCCAACAAGCTAGACCTTAGATGTTT